TGCCTTCCTTTAAGGTTTCCACATCCTTAAACAGTTTCCTGTTTCCTTATACTGTTTTGCCACTTCAGTAGATTTTCATTTAAACACTTGTTTGGCTGTTGCCAGTGAAAATAAAAGCGTGTTTAATGGTTGGGCTGTTACCGCACTTATTCTCGCCGGGGTGAATGACAAATTCGCGTGCACTGTATATGCGCCCCCCCCCCCCCATCTATGAGCAAATCGCTTGGAACGTGCTCGACTTTGTCAGATCTCCGAAGGTCAAGCAAGGTTGATTCTGCCGTGGGCACCGTAAAGCAACGCGGCAGTATCCGTTGTTGTACAGTACTACTATGCTCTCATGCCATCAGCAACCCACACTCACCAGCATGCAGTCTCATACATTTTTAAACACGCGTTGAGAAAAATGTGAAAAATTCACGACATTATTCATCCTCATTCCCTGCTTGTTACAAACTGCAATGTTTTTTTCTCTCTAAACGAAACACATGCAATTGGAATGAATAAAAACGATCGGCCAGATTCTCAACCAGGTCACAGGCACGCGTGCAAGGAAGCAACACCCCACGATATATATAGCTCGCTCTCGCATTTAGCCACCCTCCAAACTCCCAGTAAACAATACCAACCCCTCCCTCGAGCAGCCACGCAGACAATGCCAGAGACGACCGCCACTCACGCAAACATCACCTTCCACGAGCTGCTTGCAAGCGACGCAGGCCCTTCGTGCCCCCAGACGATGCCTGGCCTGCCACCTCCACGTCGTCACCTCACCCAGGAGACCTCCTCCCTAAGTAGTTGATGTAACTCGGCTCTCCACGGGTAGAAAGACGCCAGACCGGCCACAGAGGGCCTCTCTCATCAGAGTGACCAAAAGGGGGCCCACCCCACGTCAATAGCCGTCCACACCCCATGCGTCGGTACATACCGAAACGCTCAACGTTGTTTACGCGCAGGAAGTATTCGAATACGGTGATTATATTACTGATAGCCTTGGGTGATGATAATAGGGCTTGAATACCAAACGTACTGAAATATTCTTGATAAATATTTGTACGCATGTATGCATGCCGAACTTCTTTCGCAACGCATGTAGCCAACCGTGCAACGCGCACACACATTTCAAGCGACTTAGAATAAACATAGCGTACGTTTAATCGCTGTGGCACCTCAATCAAACATGTTGACCAGAGCGGACGCAAGCAAATACGTGGCAGAGATTTCAGGGCCGACGCCACCACCAATCAGCTATGCTGCCCAACCATACACGGTCACATCGCAATGCTGTCAGTGAGAACCCGTGCTCAATATACTGGCTACATTCACCCACAAACACCACGACCGCAAGTGTGCAATAACTTGCAGTGTTAACACCATTTAACATAAACATTGTGCCTTCCTTATCTTTAAAGAAAATAAGAGATACGTTTCCTTTTCTAGCACTCAACTTCACAAATTACCAGCATCATGTCCGGTCTGGTTACTCAACTAACATTGTGAGATTTGGCAAATACTCTCAGTCCGGTACAGTAATTATTAAGATCAGTTATTCACCGAAAAACATTGAAAATCTTAAAGTGCTTCTCAGTGTAGTACACAACTACAGTTGGTATGCCGAAATGGGCCAGTCGTAGTGACAGTGCATGTGACTACTGATTTCCGCTATGAAACACCTCCTTTACCAGTGGCAAAATATAGTAATAGGTCTTTACCCTTTCAACTGGTACAAAAACTGACACCTTTATACAAGGCATCATGTTTGCAATAACCACAACACAAGAAGTCAAAATGCAAAAAAAAGTTGTACGCCTTTTGGCGTCATCTGGTCCAACACCAATGGAGACTAGGCTCTAAGAAAAGCTGTCTCGGGTGTGGACCAATCAACTTCAAGGACAGTGCATATCATTATCAGAGTTGTTTCTTTCTTTTTGTTTGCATTTTAACTGGGTAAAACCCTATTACTATACTGACTTCCGGTTGACCAGTTTTTTTATCTGAGCCCAGCCACCTCACATGTTCCGGAAGCATTACAAAATAAAATATATAAAACCATGAGAAAAATGTGATCACTTGTGTTGGAGGAGAGAAAATATGAGTGGTTGTGGTCAAAAAGCAGTAATTCTCTCTGGGTAGGGGGTGACAGGAAACGAGTACACACATGGTCACCGACGCAGAGTGGGGGAGGATTCTCTGAAATCGAGAGAAAACGTCCTAAGATTACTGAATGAAGTCTAAAAATGAGTGTTCGCGTTGTCCGAGAACCATAAATCCTCGCCATAAACACAGAAGTGACACATCGTAAAGTGACTACATTTATTCCACTTCCTCAAAAGTGCAGGAAATTAATGAGAGTAGTGGCACTTTTCTTGCGTACCACATTCGCATAAACATGTTGCGAACGGCTCCTGTCGACTCCTGTGACCAAGTTTTTGACAAATCTTGTCAACGCAGTTCTTTGGGCAGCGACGACACCGCAGCTGACACAACATCATTGGACTGTTGCAAGTCATCCAAGCATCACCAACACGAACGGAGAGCCGGGACGATCATACGCTTAAGTCAATCAATGGACTAAAAGTGGAATAGAGTTGGTTTTTGTTGGTCCATTATACTTGGACCCCTGTAAAAATTGTTGGCCATCCCCAAATCCTGTCCCATGAAGGTGGGGAAACTCCTACAAGCCATGCCGAGCGCAGAGGTTAGCTTATATTTTTTCCAACTACCTTGGTATTATTAATAATCGAGTCATTGTTGGGACCTACTCCAGCGTTCTGTCGAGGTCGGCACAGAAGCGAGCAGGTGCGGTTCCCGTGACGGGCTTCCCGCACCGCGCCTGATAAGTAACATGTGCTTGCAGGGTGCCCCAAGCTCACTTCCCATTGCAGAGATCCTTCATACTATCCTCCTGCCTACGACATGGCTCATGAAGGAGTGGCACGTGTTTCATATTATTCTGATCTGACAAGATTCCTCAACAAATGTGCTCCAGGTCGGATCAATATGGAAGCTGTGCGCACAACCCAATGGTGTCCGGAACAAATACTAGACAAGATTGCGAGGCATATTGCCATGAAACGGCTGTGTGTGTGTGCGCAATAAAAAAAACAATATATATCTCCGTGTATTATTTTTTCAGGCGGTCAAGGCAAGTGCTGTTAGCGAGCACCTAAGCCGGCCAACACGACACAAACACGTTCAGACACACGCATCCATGAACCAATAAACACCGTAGACGTGAACGCAGCAGCATGTGAATTGCCAATGGAAACTTAATAATTTGTATGATTGGTTTAACCCGAACAGACGGCTTCACTGTTAGTTTTCAAATGTTACTAAGCAGTTTGTGTGTGTTGTGCAAAAACATAGCTTGTGCTATTGGTGCCCCCACATGCCTATCATTTATATAAACGTGGCGTACGTCTGATGTCCAGATGCTGGATCACCCACGCACACTGGGGCCTTCAAGCATGGCCATGTCTCTCCTTCACTTGAGCGCAAATCCCAACAAACACCCGGACATGTGTTTACTCCAAGTCTCGGGAGAGGGTACACTCTCTGGTTCAGCACACGTTCTGTTTGTAGATACAGGCGCTTATTGCAGCCAATGATTTCAATGTTGCAGAACATCACATTGAGCAGACTTCTATAAGGGTGCAACTGTCACTGAAAAAAATAGCCACGGGTGAATATTGAGGAGACCGCATCACCAACAGGGTTCGAATGTCGCATTTCAAATCTGACACGAACACAGCTCCAACGGAGCACGAACACGTCCAGGTAGGTGGAGCTTAGAAATGGGATTTCTCCTCCCTCAACCCTAAAGGTCATGGACCTCAATGCCTCAGTTTGGGATGGAGTTGGTGACCCAATCAGGTGTGGGTGGCATACGCCTGTGACCCTCGGCTTCTGGAGGCAGAGCTTGGTGGTACAATATCGAGATTTATTAAACGACCCATCCCTACCAGCCCCACCGACCGCATGAACCGCGTAGTGACCAAGACATGGCAGTACAACAAGTAGGTTCATGAGCATATTTTAGTGTTAGCCCAACGTTTAGCGTGAGGTTTCCTCCAGGTGCTCCGGTTTTTCTGCCTCGCCAAACACACGAAACAACCTACAAACGTCACCGTCCAAGCATCCCGACGCATGACCCTCCTGCACAATCATCATTGAGACTCTGCGAGGTTTCCCGGATAAACACACCACTTAACATTCATGCAGATCTCACGAGAAAAGGCGCTCGCTCTTTTTTGACAGGGGGATATGGATGGGTGGATGGGTTGGGAGGCAGGGAAGGAGCATAATGATGGCCCAATTGACAAGCAATGTGGCCTCCTTCGCCCCAGTGAAGGATGAGGTTGGAGGGGCTCAGGGTACACACACCCAGATAACCTGGAAGCCTCCATACCGCACAGTGACCCCACACACATACTGCACAGTGACCCCACACACATACTGCACAGTGACCCCACACACATACTGCACAGTGACCCCACACACATACTGCACAGTGACCCCACACACATCAGGCGTGCAACAGCACACTCCACGCAACAGCATATTAGGGAACCGAAAGCGAGGAATGAGATACACTTTTAAGATCAAAACAGAACCCCGAGACCCGCACCGATCACCACCTCCACGCAAACGACACTTGTACTCGGGTTACCCAGACTGGGTATGTGTGTGTGTGTGCCCCCCATACTTGACCAGCAAGCAACCAGTAAATAACCAGTAAATAACTAGCAAATAACCAGCAAATAATCAGCAAATCACCAGCAAATAACCAGCAAATAACCAGCAAATAACCAGACCCCCCCCCACCCCACGGCGGCCCTGCCCGGCCCTGTCCGCCTTGCGCGGCCGCGGCTGCCCGGCCCCGACCCGGCCGACAGCGACCGCCCCGGGCCGCCCCGGGCTGCCTCGGGTCTGCGGGGCCCTCTGTGGCCTGTGGCCGGGGTCCCACCTCCCTCCCTCGCTCCCTCCGCCCCCGGGTCTCTTACCTCGCCTCGGGGCTCTTGCAGCCGGTCACAGCTCGCTCGCTCGCTCGCCTCCACACTCACTGCTAACCACCACCACCTCCTCCTCCTCCTGTTCCTCTCTGCGCTCCGTCACTGCTTTGAGCGGCACTTTAGCGTGGCCACCGGCGCGCGTACTGCCCTCTAGTGTGGGGGGGACGGCATGAAGGGTGACGTCTGGGGCCCCCTGGTGGTGATGTCTGGAGCTTACCCCCCCTAGTGGTGAGATCTGGATTACTGCACCTTAGTGGTGAGGTCTGGAGCCTCCTAGTGGTGAGATCTGAGGTCTCTGGGGGTGAGGTCTGGCCGTCTGGGTACCCCTTAGTGGTGAGTTCAGGAGCCCCCCTAGTGGTGATGTCTGGGTTACTACCCCTTAGTGGTGAGTCCTGGAGCCTCCTAGTGGTGAGATCTGAGGCCTCTGGCAGTGAGGTCCAAGTATCCCTGAGTGGTGAGTTCTGGAGCCTCCTAGTGGTGAGATCTGAGGCCCATGGGGGTGAGGTCTGGGTTACAACCCCTGAGTGGTGAGTTCTGGAGCCTCCTAGTGGTGAGATCTGAGGCCCATGGGGGTGAGGTCTGGGTTACTACCCCTGAGTGGTGAGTTCTGGAGCCCCCCCCCCCCTAGTGGTGAGATCTGAGGTCTCTGGTAGTGAGGTCCAAGTAGCCCTTAGTGGTGAGTTCTGGAGCCTCCTAGTGGTGAGATCTGAGGCCGATGGGTGTGAGGTCCGGGTCACTTCACCTTAGTGGTGAGTTCTGGAGCCTCCTAGTGGTGAGATCTGAGGCCCATGGGGATGAGGTCTGGGTTACTTCACCTTAGTGGTGAGTTCTGGAGCCTCCTAGTGGTGAGATCTGAGGCCCATGGGGGTGAGGTCTGGGTTACTTCACCTTAGTGGTGAGTTCTGGGGACCCCTCCTAGTGGTGAGATCTGAGGTCTCTTACATTGCTTATGGATTTATTTTGGTGATTTTGAAAAGTGTTTTGGTTTGGCCATGTGTGTTGTAGTACGGAGTTAAAATGATGGCTTTAATCTAAGTTCTCTCGTGGTTGTTGTTGTTGTTTGACTTGCATCCCACTGGGATTTTTGCACAGCGTTGGTGTACGGTGCTTTTATTCTGGAAGACTTTGCAGTTTTTTCCTGGATTTTTCTGTTTGCGCATAGTCACTTTAAGATGTTTTCTTGTTCATGTTTTTGTTTTTTGTTTGTTGCGGTTGCACCCGATTCAAGAGCCGAATGGCTCACAGGGCTATACGAAATAAATGAAAAACTGAAAACTGAAACTCTGATGGTGAGGTCTGGGTGCACCAAAGTGGTGAGTTCTGGAAGCCCCGAACGATGAGATCTGAAGTCTCTGGTGGTGAGGTCTGGGCCCCCTCCTGACGACGAGGTGTCATGTCCCTGGAGGTGAGGTTTGGATGTCCCGTGGTGATGGGAATTGTCACTCTGGAGTTTCTATTGGTGAGTTGTGGGGGCCCTCTGATGGTAACAACTGGAATTCCCCACGTGGGAAATTCCAGTAGCTTTGTCGCCTCCTGCTGGTGAAATTTACCACGTGTTTGCTTTGTGGGGGTCTCGTGGCGCTGACCAACGTTGACCTCGTTGACTCACACCAGACGCGCGTTGAGGAGTGCACGCCGATGCCACGCCACGGGATGAATTGATATATTTATCCTTGTTGCTTGCATTCTATCCGCCTAAACGTGGCCTCGCCACGTTCATCAGGCAAGGCCTAAAGGACCATGCTTTTGAAGGCCACCACCACCACCTCAATGTCGTTGACCGTCACAGTTGGATCGCGCTCATAGTCATCAGTGTACACAGCGTAAGTCCCCAAATGATGAATGGACATCTCGACCGCTGCCAGCAGCCGCTGTTGTTGCAATTTGATGGCCCGCCCCCCATTGAATGTCTGTCGAAAGGGGCTTCATAGCTCACCGGATTCCTCCAGGATACAGACAGATTCCGATAAAGATTCTGATATAAGTGGGTGGCTTCAACCAATAGCGGAGCCAGGATTTTCAGGGAGGAGGTGGCAAACCCTCCAGCAATGAAAAATGATAGAGGAGTTGTTAGTAAGTGAGGACTTGCCCCTTGCTTTTAATCCGACGCGTGTGCGGCGATGGTGCAGCCATCGATCGAGGGTCGAATTCGAACCGCGTTGTGTGATCGGCATCGCGCTCGCTGAAGGTGAATGCCTTCAGGGAAGTCGTGGACTGTATACGCAACTGCGCACAATTCTATGAGTCACTTATAACCGCTTTGCCATTACTTATTGCCAATTATGGACTCAGACTATTGTCCTTTCATCTCATAGAGTCCCTGGCACGTAATAATATGCTACACAGTGGCAGTGGGGGTCGCAAAATGCCGATTTATTACTAATAAACCCCAATGATCCGATCGAAATTAGGGATTTCAATCGGATCATTGGGGGGGGGTACGTGCCACCCCCCACCCCTTCCACTAGCTCCGCCAGTGACTTCAACAGCTCATCTATACCTCAGTGGGCCATACCTGGTAAAATGAAAAGTAATTAAGTTTTAGTTTATGTGCTGCGAACCGCCACCCTATCACTTATCTACTCATTGCGCTCCAGCCTGGTCCAGGAGCTCTTATACACAACTGGTAGATGCACAATTCAAAAACGCAATGCGCCTCGTAACTGGAACACTGGAACTGACACCCTTCTTCCTCTGGTAACCTATTCTGCCAAACAGTCTGCCACGAAATGTCCGCAGAGACACGCAAACTGCAAGGGAGTATACACGTGTTCTACATTACTCTTTGGTTCTTTCGGTAAAGTCACGTAGGTATAAAATAAAATAGATCACGACGTTTCGGGCGCAACACAAGCGTCCGTCATCAGGAGGGAAAGCTTGGTCTGCTGCTGATGCAGACTTCTTTAAAAAGGTTTCTGCTGCTGATGCAGTCAGCAGCAGGCCATGCTTTCCCACCTGATGACGGACGCTTGTGTTGCGCCCGGAACGTCGTGATCTATTTTATTTTATACCTACGTGACTTTATCGAAAGAACCAAAGAGTATGGATTCCTGCAGTCACGAAAGCTTCAAATCAAGAGTGTTTTACATTGTATTGTCATACGCAAGAATACAATCAAATACGTTACTTAAAATCAGTCTAGAGATGAATTGTAAACTGAATTGTTAATGTATCCATTCAAAGATGCTCCTGGTTTGCTTGACATTCAGACGCGGCGCGCTGTTGCTCTTGCCCGCTTTATCTGTGTATTTATTTCGTAATTCGGCCCTCGGCAAAATGAGACTCTCGTATCCGCGTACACGCACAACCTGGAAAGCCAGACCTCAAACCAACGACCACAGCATTGCTGACCCAGCACACACACACACACACGTGTAGATATCAGCTCCGAGCTATACGAGATCACGTGCAGTGTTTTTCATTACAAAAAGTGTTTATTAAAAAAACGATACCACGCACAAAACATTACGGTGAGCATGTTGCTGCGTTGGCAGCGGTGCACAGATAACAACGCAACTCAACACACTTGTCAACAACATTGTGGTCTGAATAGAAAAACAAATATATAATGTATAGGAAAAATGACCATTGCCTATGATGCGTTTTTCCTTTTTTAAGGTAGTGTTATTTAACACATTTGTTGAGTTATTTATTCCTGTTATGATTCCAAACGACAGTGAGGACTGTCACAGTGTTACAGCGACGGCCACAGCAACCAGACGCAGTTTGAATAACCGAGAAAAAGGATCTAATTTCGTGCCTGGCGCAATAACAGCCGCTATGTTTCGTTGACGCTGCACGTACAACGTGTCTGGTTTACAACGGGGGCCCACATGTCCCTGGAGGAAGAAAAAAAAACACAATTCCGTTTCAAGTGTAAGAGTAATGCCATTCCGTATAAATACATATCTTGAAATAACGTAACTAACACCATTTCCAAACGTGTCGCGCGTGCAAGATTTACGTTTTGAATGACCATATGTACCTATTAATGGCTATGTGACTTTCCCCGTTAGAGCCCGTTCATGGTTCACGATCATAACCAATAACCACGTATGTTAGTAGCCAACCACGGTGTAGAGTCTCGTGCTGGTGAGAGAAAGAATTTTTATTGGGGAATTTTAAAAAGATCTGAGCTAATTACTTTAATAGTACTACTGTAACCCACGAATGTAAACGCTGCACATAAGTGGTTTAAAACCCCTTCATTGACCACCGGACCTCTCAAGATGGGGGTGCGTGCGAGTGCCCATCAGAATCCGTGAGATTGACTCGTGATGGCGTGAGACGCGCCGTGGGGAGAGGGGGAGAGAGAAATCGTTTAATTGTGTTCAACTTAAAACTAATTATTATTTGGTGATGCTGCTACTGCTGTGTTGGCACATGGTGAACACGCACAATTGATAACATAAATCAAAACATTCGTCAACAACACTCTGACCTTAATAGGAAACTATATATATAAAATACGCAACGTTCAAGGCAAATGGTCCTTCTTCATAGCACTTTGCATTGATGTGCTATTGAAGAAGGGCCATTGCCCGAAACGTTGCCTATTGTCGTGCACGTGAGAGCAACTTACTCATCACGTGTGATTGCATAGCAATGCAGAGCACACGTGAACAATATAATAACGCAGGCATTATTATTATGCTTTACTTATTCCCTGCATCGTAGTCTTTATCTAGTTATGGCGACAACTTTGCTGAGACATCACCACGACTACATTTCTAAACTAATGAGAGAGAAAAAAAAAACCAACGTTGGTTAAGCTTTCACACGCACTACTTTGCTTCTAAAAACCACACATTGCTTCTAAATTGTGAATACAAGTCTGTACAAAACCACGAGACGCGTGCCCTGACGCTCTTGGCTCGCAACACCGCACACACACACACGTGCGCGGCTGTCTGTCATCTTGACACTTCTTGTGAACACCTCGCAGGGAGACACGCGGGTCTCAGTGCCGAGTTCTCCGCATTAAACGCAGCGGAGAGAGAACGATCGCCTTGTAGGCGTCCTTGAACTGCCGGTTCATCAGCGCGTAGAGGATGGGGTTAATGCCGCTGTTGAGCCACGTGCAGTTGGCAGCCATCATGTGCCAAATCGGTGGATATGTTCCCTTTCGATCGATGACGTTGAGCACGCAGAACGGCAAATAGCAAACCACAAAGACCAAAAAAATCACATAACACATCTTGGTGACTTTCTTAAACTCGCCGTCCAGATTTTTTTTCACCGCAGAAGCCGCCGACTTCTCCTTCTTCTTCTTCTTCTTATCCCTCCTCTTTTTGGTGACATTCTCACCCGCGTCGAGGTCGCTCGAGTTCGCCGACGCCTCGTCGTGACTTCTGCTCGCGCTGGGCTCGTCCCGCAGCGCCTCCGTCCACGTGGCCGCGGTGGTGTCGGTGGCGCTGTTCGCTGCGTCCAGGCTGCACGAGGTGCTCGCTTCTTGCGGCGCCGCCACCACCGCCGTCTCCCTCCCCTGCGCTCCGGGCGGCCCATGCGCGCTCATCCGCACTCGGTACTTGTGGAGCGCCTTGGCGGACACGGCCACCCTCCTGTGGATGAGGCAGTAGAAGACGGTGATGGAGGCGATGCCCGCCACGAAGTAGAACACGAGCAGGACGGTGGTGTACGGGCGTCCTCTCTCGCGATGGAAGCTGCACGTGCACACCTGCTTCAAGAAGTCAAAGCTCGTCCAGAGAGGCGCAAACGAAGCGAGACCCATCAGCCACGGGGTGCCCAGGAACGCGGGCATCGTGTACCTGGTGTAGATCCGGTCAAAGAGGCGCTTGTCCCTGATGAGAAAGTAACGATTGACCGAAATGGAGCCCAGGTTGAGTATGGACACGGCGTTGGACATGAAGAGAAGCAGGCCGAACACCCTGCAGCCGTCCGCTCCCATCCTCCATCTCAAGTGGATGTACGAGTCCACGGTGATCGGTTGCAGAAAGGCGCAGTAGAGGAGGTCCGACAGCGAGAGGTTGACGATGAGCGCGTTCAGCTTGGTCTGCAGCTTCTTCTCGATGCCGAACGCCAGCATGGTCATGCAGTTGCCCAGGGTACCCACCACCGTGACCAGCACGCCGAGCGCGGCTCCAAAGTAGCGATAATTCTCGATGGATGGGTCGCTGCAGGTGAAGTTCTCCATGGCTCGCGTCGTCTCGCCAGCACGGAGTCCCGAGTGCAAAGCTGCTGGACTCTAACCCTGGTAGCTGGGTGTGAGTTTCCTCATTCCTGTGGTTAAAGCTTCGACTCGATTATTTTTGCGACTCTTTCTCTCTCGAAAAAACACACTAACAGTAAACACATATTCTTTATTAGAATTTCCATCATTATTTATCATATCGTGCTAATCACACACGCAGACCACTGGAACTGTGGGCTGACCACAGCCCGGAAAACGTAGTGAGCAAAATAAACGCGTGAGCGGGGAAACCCGCGTTAATAATTTGCGAAATTCTGCTATTTTACACCAAAGCGAAGAAGTCTGAACACCTGGGCCAAATGAGCATTCATCACTGCCTTCAGATACTTGGCAGGAGACGTGTCATTCACGATCTATCCACTGCTAGATAGAGGCTTTCACTCGCCATCTGGCTACTGCACATTATTTGATTTAATCGTTCCGTCTCCGCGGTGGTTCATTTCCCCGGGCGTGTACCTACTACTACCCTGGCAGCCACTCCGTTGTTAGTCTTGACCGCCGACAATCCTCGCTTCTAGCGACGCGTCCTGCCCAAGCCCATTTATTAACAGTCAAACTAAAGTAATACATTAACTCCTTTTTAATTTTACAAGGTAAGGCCCACTGAGTTATGCGACCTGGCCACAAATGATAGCTCAACGAAGTGGCAAATTTTTTTAATATAGTTCATAACAAAGGTTTTTGGGTTATATCGCATGTATAAATGTGTCTTAACCCTCCACCACCCGACACAGCCAATTAGTAGAGGATTTGTCACGTAAACAAAACGCCAATTAGTTACTACTTCAGCCCACCGGTGTGTTGTAAATCCACAACATTTACAATTTGAGTACGACGTTTCGCTGGCAATTACATCCAGCATCATCGGGTGATTTGCCATAATAGACACATTTATACTTACGCGATCTAACCCAAAAACTTTTATTATGAATAATATTGGTCGCGAAAGCCTACGTGTTAAACTCAGTTTATATAGTTTGTAAACATATTGAAGATATCTGTCAGAGGAACACAATTGGAAAACAAAATAATCTGTATACCACTAAGGGCGGTCATTGAAGGGGAACCGGGATCAAAATGATGCCAGGAAAAGGTGGACGATATTAAGGTGGATGAGCTAAAGGTGGATGAGATAAAGGTGCATGAGATAAAGGTGCATGAGATAAAGGTGCATGAGATAAAGGTGCATGAGATTAAGGTGCATGAGATCAAGGTGGATGAGCCTAATGAAAACCAACAGACCAGTGTCCCTAAAGAAGCAACATTTTAATCAGTGTGTACAATACCTGCTTTGACATGTGTCCAAGTTACTCTTGTTGTTTTTTTTTTACTGGATATAGCGGTGCCGGACAGTGCATTGGAATGCTGTGACGATATGCAAATGCATCGATCAATACCGATTTTTAAATTCGCGTTCGATGCAAATCGAATATGGTGTAAGTTAATGGCTTCGCGTGATCTCTCCAGCCTCCAGAGGCTGCTATATTAATCACAATATTAAACATGAACCGATTCCTAAATTGGTGTTGTCCACGTGTTAGATCCTTTACGCCCCCCCCCCCCACCCTTGAAAAAAATGTCAGCACCTTCAACAGAAACGTCGTAGTTCATAACTGGAAAAGAACAAAAATCCACTTAGAATCAAAGTAGCTTCATCGTTTAATAGCTCCCGTTTCTTCATTTTGAGAGTGGCAGGGATGATGTAAGGCTAGATTTGAAGCTTTCGTGACTGCAAGGATTCATATTCTTAGATTTTATTTTCGGTAAAGTCACGTAGGTAAAAAATTAAAATTAATAAAAAGTAAAATAAAAATTAAATACAAATCACGACGTTTCGGAGGCAACACAAGCTTCCCTCTTCAGGTGGAACCGTTACAGCACGATTCCTGTACTTGATACAGCTATTTTTTTACCTACGTGACTTTAGCGGAAAAAAAACTAAGAATATGATGTAAGGCTTCCTCGGTGACACAGCACCTGAAATCCCGGAACATCTTTGCTTCGAGGCAGCTTTGTGGGGTGGCCGATAACCGCCTCCGGGCGTTTCTGCAACATCCCCTCCCTACTCCCTTGGGAGTTGGACATGTCTCAGTGCCTCGCTTGAGTACCCTCCGAGTTAATCCCAACTACCAGCACCCAGGATGGGTAAACAAAAGCCATCTCTTGTTTTGTTTGTGAGTGCGCGCACTATCGTATTCAGATTCATCATGGGTTGGTTTTCATTTCCACATGGTAATCCACTTTGTTGGGCTATCATTTATGGCCAGGTCGCTTCTAAAAAATAACTAATAGCTCGGTGGGCTGTACCTGGTCAAATTAAACAAATTGCGAATTGTTTAGTTGAAATGTATTTATTTTTTGTGATTTGCTTATCTTTCCTATACTTTGCACTCCTATCGTTTTTTGTTGTTGTATTGTTTGTTTTGTTGGAAATTTCTGACCCGCCCCTACTGCGAAAAAGAGCTTTACAGCTGATCGGATCTCCCGGATAAAGATACTGACTCTGTATGTCACTCTGATTACGATACATGCGGTCAAATCACCGATCGGCTCTCGAACCGCGGCAGTCCGATGGCAACGTGTTAATCACAGCGCTGCGTGTGCTCAACGGCGGAGTTCTTGTGTGCGTCTGTGCGTGGGGGGGTGGGGGTGCTGACCCTTGGTCGTTGATATTCAGGGAGTCTAAACACGAGCACAACAGGGGGGGGGGGGGGTCAGAGTCCTGCATCTGCTCGGTTACCCGCGGGTGATCGGCGAGTGGGCGGATGGGTCGATATTAGTTGTTTGATTTGGGGGTTGTAACGCAAACGCTTATTTATGGCTTGCGCCGCGGGTCCGGGTCATGTGTTCATCGTCGGAGTCCGTTTCTCTCGGAACGACACCACGAGAGCGTCACAACGAAGCCCGTCAGCCGAGTCGCATCGCCAGACAGAGGAGCAATAAACTGGCACGGCACTGCGTGTGGCCTCATCAGGTGCACACTCAGCACGCAGCAGGAAGAGCGCACTCACACCCAGTCACACACTCGGCACAGGCGCACCTCTTATTACAACGGGACTCGCACGAGCGATGTGCACGACGAATGAAGGACAATGGTGTACAGGACACGTATCGAGTGACGCAAACACACACACGCAGACCCGGCGACTTATGGATTAATAAATAAACACATGTGTGTGTGTGTTGATTTGAAGCTTTCGTGACTGCAGGAATCCGTACTCTTGGGTTCTTTCGGTAAAGTCACGTAGGTGACTTTTATTTCTACCTACGTGACTTTACCGAAAGAACCAAAAAGTGTGTATGTGTATCTTGTATTTCTGTCGCACCGTGCTAATCGGAGGTGCGTTGACAACATGTTATCTCCCTCGCCTGGTATACAGGAGGTCGTGGATTCGACCCCGACACTGGCGCCTATGTATGTGGAGTTTGAATGTTCTCCTCGTGATCGCGTGGAATTAGCTCTGGGTCCTCCGGTGTTTCCCTCCACATTTAGAAACATGCGTTTGGATCATTTGGCTGCTGTACATTTCGACTGAATAAGCCACCTTCTTCTTGGTTCTTTCGGTAAAGTCACGTAGAAGGGAAATAATAAAATAATAAAAAGAAAACATTATTATTTTATTATTTTCTTCTACGTGACTTTACCGAAAGAACCAAGAAGATGAATCCCTGCAGTCACGAAAGCTTTAAATCGAAATTTAAGCCACCTCTCGTTGAGTGTCATTTGTGGCCAAGTCACTTCTGAAAAAAAGAGCTAAAGAGCTCAGTGTGCTTTACCCGGTGAATAAAATAGTTTAGTTTATGGTGAGGATGTCAACTATAATGTCAAGAATGATGATTAGATGCATGTTTTACAGCTGTCAAAACGGGATCTCATCGACTAGAAGAAAAAAAGATAAAACCTACATTTAGGTATCGGAATGATTAACGGGTGATGTATGGCACTTTGCGACGGTGCAGAATTTAAGAACCCAATAAACACTGCAAATGCTAAACGAAAGCTGTGTGCGTTGCACACAAAGTGTGGTGATGTCAAGTGACAACATGCAAAGCACGATGGAGGGGCCAATCCTATGGTCACAATGTTTACGTTTATTAATATTATTATCACCATCATCACGCGAATTTGTTTCCAGCCTCCAACAAGCCCTCTTCTCGATTTGAAGCTTTCGTGACTGCATAGAAGGGCCGAAACGTTGTGAGAATTATTTTATTATGTTTTATTTTTATTATTTTATTATTTCCCTTCTACGTGACTTTACCGAAAGAACCAAGAAGATGAATCCCTCTTCTGTTTTGGTGAGTTTCTCTTCATCGGCAGAAAGTGCTGGAATTGCTTTATCCCTGCTCGTCATAGGAGACGCAACAACATCACGCAGACACGCGTGGGGAAGTGAGCAACTGCAGGTGGCTTTCTTCACCGCGTGATTATTTCCCCACACGTTTATCTCATGACTGTCCCCACACCATCCGGTTCTGCCTTGCAACACGCGTTCCGTTTAAGCTGGTGTCCTCAATTACTGGATTTACAAGAATTCTTGTTAAATGTGGGTGACACTGCGTGACCCTACACGACTTAGCAAAAGTAATTTCCACACGGATTGCGTAAACACATTTACAGTATCTGTTTATTTCTTGGGAAAACACATTAACACATTTTTTTGGTTTTGAAATGAACCATAGGATAAAGAGGTGAATTTACAGGGTAATGTTAGGCTCATAATGTCAATCCTCAACGACAACTGTGGACACTGAGACAATGGCACAAACGCCCGGACGCACCATTCACACAGCACAGCTGAGCGTACAGGAGCAACGGGCTATTGCTATTCATCTGTGAGGTCCCCTGCACAGTTACAGGACATGATCCCAGTGAGCAGTTCATCGCTCGGAGGGTCTTCACGCTGATTGTTCATCAACCCAGGTAATAATCTACATCGACAAGCCACCCAACACCGTGGAAATCCAGGTGTTTCACCGGAGGACGCACAACAACCACTACACACACACACCACACCAGTGCATTTAGATCAAGACTCTCGTTTCGAAATCAGCTCAACAGTCCACATTAGCCACGGCTGTGCTCGGAACCAAGCCGACTCGTCGCCGCATGGGTCGTACACGGATTTTTTTGCTGCCACCGCCACCCCTGCCGCTGCTGCTGGCGCCCTGCAGGGCCGGGGCTCTATTTGTTCATGTTGAGCTCGATGAGGCGTCCCGCAAACACGGCGATGGTGCCGATGACGCACACGAGGCTGAAGAAGCCCAGCAGGATGTGGTCCAGAACCATAGCCACGAACTTCCACTCCTCCGCTGCCTGTGGCGGGTGGCGGGGGAAGGGGGGGGGGCACGGAAAGGGGAAAACGCGGGGCAGAGGGTCGCCAACGTGAGTGGCGGCACCAAGGCGTTTCGACAGCCGCTGTTCGTGAAGACACGCTACACGTGCCCTGGTCAGTCGTTTACACGCAGGGCTTCATTTTAACCCGGTCTGTCCAGGACACGGCCCAGCAGGTATTTATGCATCCAGGACACTGCACCGCATTACACTTCTCGTTACGGCTGTGGCTATTGGTCACGTGTCTACTTCATTCTAAAGGTGACTCAGAAGTAATTCGGTGAGAAATTAAGCCCTGATCACAGGTGTTTCAGTGCCCCATTGTGTTTCAGTGAGATAAGGAGTTGAGTAATTGCTGGAATCTATGGATCTCTCCCAACTAATCTCACGTCCCACATAATCCCATGGCCAAACATTTGACGTCGTAATTCCTGACATTGAGTTCCGTCGCTCTTACAACCGTTTTGCCCATCACTTAAGCGACCACCGTATACTCATACGTCTACATTTGCCTCTCTGCTACCAACTTCCTCTGGATCCCAAATCTCCTTCCTCCGCACTCGACATCTGGCTCTTTCACTTCTCCGTTGCTGAAATTTCTCTCCTGATCGCAGCTTCATTGACCCCCCATTGAGCCATACATTGCCACACTGTCTGCTGCTGCTGCTGCGAATGATCTCACCCTCTGAACAACTCGTATCTCTTTTAGAGCCTCCTCAGCCCCTGTATCAGAACCATCCACTTTTTTTTAAGGGTGGTCTGGACTCGATTGCTATGCACGTTAGGGTCATTGTTGTGATTATTACTAAATAGAAAACGTAGGCCATGAAAGTGTCCCATGGTGGGATTTTCTAAACAAATTCCATCACAAGTTTATCAGCGTCAAGTTTACCGATTAAAACACATGTTCATAACCAGAGCTGGGGCAATTCCTTGATTAATTAATTATAAATGATATAATCGACAGCTTTATCGTCAATTACTCAGAACCCTTTAAATACTGCGGTGCCCCAAACATCCCCTGCCTCCCGTAGGCAGGAAACCCCTTGCAAGCCACGCCCAGGGTGACGCGGCTGATGATACCGACGGTATCACCTCCCGTCCAGCGACACGTACCGGAACAGAATTGCGACTTTCATTTCGCCTCCCACGACTATGTTCGAGGGTATCCGATTAGTTGAATAATCAAACTGATGAATGGAACCAATGATCGGTAGAGGAATCGATCACGTAAGTCAATCGGAGTGCCCAGCCCTATCAACAACCCAGTGAGAGAAGCGGGCTTTGGCAACGGGGGACGGGGCTGGTGGTGCCTGCGTGGGACGGTGCGCTGTGACATCGCTGTACGGTCACGCTCGTCACACTTGCCACAGACGAACCACGATACCTCGCTGATCTCATCACGGTACGTAAATTATCACGCAAACTCCGGTCATCCTCGCGGCAGCGGCTTTTGGCTAGCCGTCGAACAGAGACGGTCATCGCATCGCGCGCATTCAGATGCGCTTCTGTGGCCCTCTGGAACGCTCTTCCTTCCGATGTTAGGAAGCCACCGGTGCTTTGCACTTTTAAATCTCGATTGAAAACTCACTTCTTTAGAACTGCTTTTTGTACTAAGTTTGTTGTCCTTCCCCTGCACCTTCAATGAGCGCTTGCTGGCTCCGTGTGGTGTTTAAAAAGTTCAACATACACCCATACACACTCACGTTGCTCGACTCCTGGTCGCCCTTCATGTGCTCCGCAATGTACTTGATGCCCTCGATGGCGGCCCGCACGTCGGCATTGCGCGTGATCGCGGAGTGGTACACCTGACCCGGCGGCTCCTGGTTCCCCGAGATCTCCGAGATGTCCAGCCCCTCGCCCATGATGCGCTTGTCCTGGCGCTCCTTGGAGGGACGCTTCATGGTGGAGAAGAACATCATGCCGGGGATGGTCTCGATGAAGAGCTGTCAGAGTGCACGGGGGAAAAGGAAAAGGGTGCGTCATGGACGAGCGCCGCGCGGCTCCACGTGGGTGCGATCTTCGAAAGTTTGAAAGTTCGCCCGTAACGTGGGAGGCGTTTGTCTGAGCGTCACTGAAGGAAGGGCGCCTCACAAGGAGTGGAAGTCATGAAGACCGACGCCACATTCAACGGCAAGTGACAAAGTGGTCATTGTGTGGAGTGGTAGTGTATCGGTTAGCGTGTTGCGCTTCGAACCCGGTGACCTGAGTTCGATTCCCGCTCACGGCCAACACCAGTGACAATTATCTGAACTGGCCCTGGTCTCCCCTAGGTCGACTCAGCCTCAAATAAGTACCTGGTGTGGTGTGTTTCCAAAAGGGAGACAAAGGTGACCGGGTGTGATGTTGGTCACCCACCCCCTCGTGTGCCGTGCCGGCATTAATAGGTTCTCGCCAACAGCATTGGCCCCAACAGTCTGTTAAGGCTATAAAGATGATCTTTGTCTTTGTTATTGTCAAGTCTAATTTGGCCATTGGTCAGTAGTTATACAATACAAACGGTACCTGTAGCAGCTCTGCATCCAACTCTGTAGCTGCTGTCACTGTTGTCGTTCTCTACCATGGGACACTTTACTGCTGTATACTTACACGAATACCCGACGGATGCCTCTATGGTTCAGCGTTGACATTTCTTTGAAGTAGGCCCCATTAGGGACACTAAAAAGCCAACCTCATCACGTGCCACCAATCAGTCTGCCCTCAGGGACGAGCTGATTGGCTGGAAGCAACCTGGCACTGTCGCCCTCTGGCCCAGACTCCACCACCGTCGGTGTCCACAACGCCGCGGTATTGTCATTACAGAGGCAAAACCTCGTCGAATGAAGCAGGGTCGACCCTGCTTCGCTTACGAGATCCATGATATTGGAGCACTTTAGGGAGGGGGGGGGGGATTTGTCTGTAAGGCATAACGACAACGTAACTGAATCATCTAATCAATCGTATGCGGTAATGAATTCATCATCTCTGGCCGAGACGACGGTCAATGTCAAGCTCAAGGTCAATACTCTCCTGCATACAGAACCAGCGCACTCGTGTTGGTTGTTGAGAAACGTAAGTGGGCTTGGGCAGGAAACATCCACGACTCGAAAGGAGGATGGCTGATGTGAAGGACGACGACCACGGAGATGGAGCACCGGGATCAGTTCATGTGCACGACGAGCTGGATGTGGCATCACGGGACTGTGAAGGATGATGATGGTGCGGGCAACCCTTCACTTTGCCGTGGATAGATCATGGCTCACGATGATGATGATGATGATGCTTTCACCTCAACTCCGATTAGCACGGTTGGCTACGTACGGTGCGAATGAAGTTCAATGTGCAGTACATACACCGCAGTGGATAGACCATGAAATATGATGGTGATGATGATGATGCCTTCATCCAGTAGCGGTAAACCATGGAACGATGATGCTTTCATTCAGCAGTGGATAGACCATGGATGACGATGACGAACCAAGCGCGATGTGCTCACCTTGCGGACCCAGGGCTGCATGGTGTGGGTGCTGGGTGAGCGGTGGTGGATGTTGATGACCGCGACGGTGATGATGATGGCCATGATGACGAAGATCATGGTGAAGAGCATGTACTTCCCGATGAGGGGCACGTCCGTGGACGTGGACGGGATGAGCTCCACAATGACGAGCAGGAACACGGTGAGGGACAGCAACACGGAGATGCTCAGCGTCATCTTCTCGCCTGCACATCGTCATCGTGATCAATGTTTACAGTGTATTACCACCACTACTACCATCGTCATCATGATCAATATTAATAGTGTATCACCACCACCAACCACAACCACCACTACTACTATTATCATCGTCATCATGATCAATGTTTACAGTGTATTACCACCACTACTACCATCGTCATCGTGATCAATATTAACAGTGTATCACCACCACCAGCCGTAACCACCACTACTACTACTACCATCTTCATCATGATCAATATTAACAGTGTATCACCACCACCAACCACAACCACCACTACTACTACCATCTTCATCATGATCAATATTAACAGTGTTTCACCACCACCAACCGCAAACACCACCACTACTACTACCATCGTCATCATGATCAATATTAACGGTGTTTCACCACCACCAACCGCAACCACCACCACTACTATCATCGTCATCATGATCAATATTAACAGTGTATCACCACTACCAGCCGTAACCACCAATACTACTACCATCGTCATCATGATCAATATTAACAGTGTATCACCACGACCAACTGCAACCACTACTACTACTACCATCGTCATCATAAATTATCAATATATCACCACTGCAACCACTGTTAATAGATTCTCAAAAGAAACACGACTAAATCCACGGAAACCACCCTTATCATCATCATGAAGAATACATCACCACCACAACCACGCACCATCACGATCACCATCATCACCGTCATCATTACATCACCACCGAAGAATGACCATCATAATCATCACTATCAACACTACGACCATCAATAAATCACCAACACAACCAAAACCATCACCACTATCTTCTTGGTTCTTTCGGTAAAGTCACGTAGAAGGGAAGTAATAAAATAATAAAAATAAAACATAATAAAATCAAATAATTCTCACGACGTTTCGGCTACAACGCAAGCAGCCGTCTTCAGGTGAAGGCTGCTTGCGTTGTAGCCGAAACGTCGTGAGAATTATTTGATTTTATTATGTTTTATTTGTATTATTTTATTACTTCCCTTCTACGTGACTTTACCGAAAGAACCAAGAAGATGAATCCCTGCAGTCACGAAAGCTTTAAATCGAAACATCACCACTATCTTCAATACTACATCAAGACCACATCCACCATCATCATAAATACATTACCACCAAATCCAGCATCATCATCATCACCCAGCGGGATCATGATGCGTCTGGTGGTGCTATCACTGCACACCTGAGTCCGTGGGTAGGTAGAACACGAGTCCGGTGAGGAAAGAGAAGAGCAGGCAGGGGATGATGACGTTGACGATGAAGTAGAGGGGCAGCCGCTGCATCACAAAGTGGTACGTGATGTCGAGGTAGGGCTTCCCCGGGCAGCAGGTGTAGTTCACCCAGTGAGTCCAGCCGCGGTATTCCTTCATCACCCACTCTCCGTTCTCCATGAAGTTGCTCATGTCCTGGTGGACGCTCTCCTGGGCAGAGGTTCGGCGGGCGGGGGGGAGGACAGGTCTCGGCACACCAGGAACAATCTATAACAGGGGTCGGGAACCTTTTTGACTGGGAGAGCCATAAAAGCCAAATATTTCTAAATATATTTCATTGAGAGCCATATAGTATTTTTAACGTATAATAAATTAAATATGTCTTACTTTTAATGCGACGTCTGGTGCTGCATGGTTTTGCTGATGGCCTTGTAGTCTGGTGCATACGTGGTGAGGTTGAGCTTCATGCAGGCGTGACCCGTGAAATTTATCTTCAAAACTAATTTCTGTTCACTTTAAAATGACACAGTATTATTAAGTAATATCACAAGTATTTTAAAATCAGTTACAAACAGATTTTTTAAAAATTATTTTTTCTACTCAAAATTGTCTGGGAGCCATATGCCGTCACTGGAAGAGCCATATATGGCCCGCGAGCCATAGGTTCCCGACCGCTGATCTATAACTTACACTTATCACCGACGAATCTTCTGGGTCACAAGCAGACTGGCTGTAGGCACGCGAATCGTTGACACAGCCCGTGGTGAGAGGTACGGTATACTGCACGTGGTGTGCCGGCTGCGGGAAAAACTTTCCAGGTTGCTGACTCGGACAAACTTGGCTCGAAGTGAAGCCCTGGGGTGCCTCGCAGGGCAGTGCTCGTGCACGGCACGGGGCCCATTGCGGTAGAGCCTCCTGTACCCACCTCGCCCCAGCGTTCCCTGGTATGGGCACGTGTCTTGCACATACTGTGCACGTACCCGTCATCTTAATCACTCCACGACTGGATGAGGGTCTCGTCATGAGTCGTGGGTTAGTGAATACGGGGGGGGGAATTAAGACACGGGAGCACAGACGTGCAGTACAACAATGCATTTTGCTGCATTGTCTGCCGTGTTAGCTCCCCGCAAGCCCACTGGCAAACCGTCGTGATGGGTGACCACCGCGCACAAAGAGATCAATGGTTCCAACCATTCTTCGCTTGCTCAATCACTCGCCACGCATCTGTGTGAACCGCGCGAAGGATCTGCGTCGACACCCGGAGCACGTTGCCATCAGTCCCTGGTTTAATCGGTCGTTGTGCCCTCGTGACGACGACGACGATCTACAGGATTGCACCCACACACCTGCTTGATGGTGACCTTGCTGCCGTCGTAGGTCCAGGTGCCGAGCTTCATGCTGCAGTTCTGCTCGTCGAACGGGAAGTGGGAGACGACGATTTCGCAGTAGCTCTTGAAGATAACCGGTGGCATCCAGACGACCTTGCCAGTGTGCTGCACCAGCAACTTGGTCATGTGCACAACGGCAAAGTCGCCATCCGCACTGCGGACAATCGCAAAAATCACACCGGTGACATCAACGCAATTAATCAGACACACACACACACCGATGTTGAACATCAGCGACATGAACACAAACTAATGTGGCTGTGATAATGTACACTATAGTATAGTAGATCCCCTCTTAACGACGGTAATTGGTTCCACGAAACCGGTCGTTAAGCGAGTATAGACAATATGGTACACCAAGAATTCAAAAAGAGATGTTTCCACTTCAAAGCGCAGCAGACACCGAATGCAAACAATGCCCCGACGCTCATGAATGGACGTCGCTGATTGGCCGAGGCCTGGTCAGATCACTTTGGAGCTCGCCGATTGGCCGAAATTGATGGCCGCGTGCTCATCGTAAGCCCATCGTTAACAGGGGAGTGGTGGGTAAGTGAACATATTGGGCTCTAAGGAGGCCGGAGTTAAGCGATTAGTCGTTAACAAGGGTTGTTATTAAGAGGGGTTCTACTGTACTATTAACATAATGTATGCCTCAAGTTTCCTGGCTGGCTGCTGGCGACCAATATCATCCAGAGTACAGCTTTTTTGGGTTAGATCGCGTAAATATATAAATGTGTACTAGTAACGAATTGGCATGTTCTGTTTACGTGACAAACCTCACTAACTGGCTGTGGTGGCGGGTTTAACGACACATATATTTACACGATCTAACCAAAAAAAAACCTGTATCATGAATAACTATGTTGTTGGTGGCTGTTGCGCGCCGTTACCACCGAAACTTGCTGGGTAACTGGCCAAAACGGGATATTCCGTGTAACAAACATCACATTGAAACGGCGAAAGAAAGTTCAGAAGACGAGATCATAGATAGAGACACTAAAGAGGTGGGAGTAACGAATGCAGAAAACTGGCACGGTTCATTGAATATTGCTCTAACGTTTGTGCTCCTATTAACGCAATGACTTCGGTGGAATATTCTTTAAATCCTTGACAGCATAAATAAAAACCTCACAATACCTATTGTTGACAATTCTTGCATTTAATAAAACAGATTACTTTTAATTCTCCGAGATTGTGAGAAGAGTGAAAATGACGGCTCTTATTTTTCTGCTGCAGAGCAAAGTTCTTTGCTCGTAATAATACATTACTTTGTTTAATCCAGCCAACCAATAAATGTTAAGGCCCCTGACCCCGTCACATTTGGGACATCACAATCAGACACACACACACACACTTCAGTGAGATCACACTCCCCACATAGTTACCCACACAATATGCATGGAAGGTTTGTCGCATGGAAGCTGTGGATTATGGCTGAGACACGTAAGGATACTAACGCAGTCAGGCCCGGGCCAAACTGTCGCCCTAGATTCATCATCATTCGCTCGCAACCCACACACGTACTGATGATAGTGGCACAGCAGCTCCAGTAAAAAGGCATTCATGTCCTGTACGAATAACGCCAGGGCTCGCATGATCGCGCACGACACAAATAAGTCCTTGCCGTCGGTTTTGTTCAACTCTACAACAAGCAAGGCAATTAGCACCATACAAAGATGTGCGTTACACGTGAAGTATGTGAATTGACGGCAGGAACTTCTTGACGGGTAACACACTTTTATTAAATCTTTACGGTTCACAATACAACGTGTGGTCTCCCTTCTTCCGACTACACACTCCACTAATCTCGTGTAAACTCTATGCCTCTGGCTACACACGCTACACTTGACTCGTGTAGACCCTATGCCTCTGGCTACACAATACACTCGACTCGTGTAGACCCTATGCCTCTGGCTACACACTACACTCGACTCGTGTAGACCCTACGCCTCTGGCTACACACAATGCATCCGGCTCGTGTAGACCTTATGCCTATGGCTACACACACTACACTCGCCTCTGGGTTACACAGAGTCCCGGTCCCGTTAGGACAGCGGGACTAGGTACCGCAGGGCCCTAGGTCTTCATCCCCGTCTTCATTCTTCGCTGGTTACATACTGCCCTTACGCCTGTGTGCATCCCCTTTTATAGCCCCTGCTCACGAGAGACGGAGCTGATCCGGACGTCGACGTGAGCATCGTTCCCTAATGAACCAATCACGACGCACTCTTTCTACGATCCGTTTTCCCCAACGCGTGTTAACACTACTCCACCAATCACACCGCGCTGCCACCCGATCACTCCCTCTCAGCGCGTCACCGGCACACAGCCAATCAGTACCCCGTAACCCACGACCCCGCGCTGACCCCTGATCCTCCACCGTCAGCGCGCGTCACCACCTACACAGCCAATCATTACGCGCTGGCATACGATCCCTAATCCCAGCGCGTATCACCTCTACACACGTATAACAGAAGCGCGTGCAAAATGTCATGTTTCACAGTGCCTCGTGAGATGAGCTAAACATTCAATTTACAAGCCACATGCCACAGCCCAACAGCTGTACGGCTGAGTGCTCCCAGATCAAACCTCGACTCGTTTTCTTAAGTCATCCCAGGTCTACGAAAACTGCAGTGCACTCTGATGAAGTTCAACGTAATGGCACTAACTCTTAAGAGGTAGAAATCAATGTCGGCCACCTAAATACAGGTGACCATTCCCAGACTCCCCTGGTCAAACCCGGGGGGAACAGGTAAAACTAATTATTACTGGCCAAGACTAATTAGAGAATCCATTGAAATTGAGAGAAACAGAAATAACTTCAATCGCTCTGACAGCTACAGGCTTCGTACGGCCTGGAAGCGTATTATTAAATACATACAATTACAATTCCTTATAAGGGAAACAAATATCAATGAATAACAATTGAATGATTACCAATCTATATAATTACAATACCCTCCCCCTCTTGCCTCGAATCACTGCACCAGATTGAATTGAATTAAATGATGACGTCACCCTGATGCTGCTCTATTTAAGACCGGAAGCAACAGGAGAGCTTCACCATTCTTGCCCGATGAAGCTGATTGTAATAATCAGCGAAACGTCGTACTACTCAAATTTTAAAATGCTGTTGAGTCTCTCTTCAGCACACCGGTGGGCTAAAGAAGTGAATTATTTTGTCCTTTGAAAAACGTGACACATTTTTAAATCCTTTATATTTAGTTCGCTTGCTTGCTTGCTTGCGTGCTTTCGTGCTTGCTTGCTTGCTTACGACCGTGCAAATCTTTCGGTCGTTTTTTAACACACTTCCCGTAATCCAATCGAGCTGATATTTTCCACACAGACTCATTGTGCGTGACAATTAATTCCAAAATTTTACACTGTTTAGGGAATTTTTTAAAATATTTAATTACCAATTGCTTAATGCTGGCAGACAATCATCTGACTCATAGGTGGCAGCCATCTCAAGCCAGAGGACGAGAGGACTCTAGCCGCCACGCATATAAAGGATTTAGAGTGAAAAACTTTGTTTTAACGGGTTCATTTTTTAAATCCTTTATATTAAGTTCACTTGCTTGCTTGCTTAGGACCGTGCAAATCTTTCGGTCGTTTTTTAACCCACTTCCCGTGATCCAATCGAGCTGACATTTTGCACACAGACTCGTTGTGCGTGACAATTAATTTTCGTGAACATTTTTTTCCAAAATTTTACACTGTTTAGGGAAATTTTTTTAAATATTTAATTACCAATTGCTTAATGCTGGCAGACAATCATCTGACCCATAGGTGGCAGCCATCTCAAGCCAGAGGACGAGAGGACTCTAGCCGCCACGCATATAAAGGATTTATAGTGAAAAACTTTGTTTTTACGGGTTAATTTTTACTGTTTGGCCGTGTCGGGTGGTGGAGGGTTATGACACATTTATAAATAACGCGATCTGACCCAAAAACCTATATTATGAATAATATTGGTCGCGAAAGCCTGCTACGTGTCAAATTGACAGCCGTAGGTTCACCGTGAACATGGATGAGACTTGACCAGGTCCAAGGTAAACATGAAGCAGTTTTGACAAGGCAATCCGTACAATTTATCATCAAAGTTAATCCACCGAACTCCCTATAAGCTATTTAAGCATGAAGATGACATTATGTGTGTTCAGTATGTATTCTGAACTTCTTTCGCACCGTACGTAGCCAACCGTGCGAATCGGATGTGCTGGGGTAAGGACATCAAACTAAACACAAAACGCAGTCGTAACATTATCAATATGTTCTAGTCGTGTTATTACTTTACAACCTCGACATACACTTTGACAATCATCATGACAGTAATGTCATTTAACTACCCAGCATATGCTCAAAGGGTTAGAATTTTTTTTCTGAAGGGATGTTTGGGTTGACGGCCCAATTCGTTTCTAGCGAGTTCTCTGCACACGTGTCAGGAAACCGGTGGAGAACGCAGAGAAATCCCACAGTGCAAGGAGGTTCAGAGGTCTTGTGACCCCCAAATTAATTGACCGCTAACATTGTTTAACAAATATATATTGCTTATATTACACACCCATTGGTGTACTAATTTTTTTTTACGTTTTAGAGAATGAAATGGGAGACACAAGACATTTGGACCTACCATTGATAAGGAGATCACGACTCAGAGGAGCCGCATTTGCTGTACTGCCATCTCCTGGCCATCTATAGCATCCCAGCAAGTGTGGAAGCTTCAGAGACGACGTGCAAGTCTTGTGTAAGTTATAAATGGTGTGTGTTTACTCTCCAACACACCGGTGAGCTGTACTCGTAAGGAATTGACACGTTTTGTTCACGTAACAAACCTTACTAATTGGCTGTGTCACGTGGTGGCGGGTTTAACGACACATTTCTATTTACGCGATCTAACCCCAAAAAAACCTCTATTAGGGATAGCATTGGACGCGAAAGCCTACGTGTGAAAATGTGCCTGTTGTTGACCCAGCATAAGAAGGCCCTTGACAGAAGTGACTAAGCGGCGATAAAATGAGAAAGCGTGTTTTCCCAGCTTGAGAATATTGCCCTTAAGGTGCCAATTAGTGCGGCTAAGAAACGTGCAAGCGATGAACTGGACTCGTGTAGCCTCGAGCCGCACGAAATCAACGTCTCGTGTCAACAGGGACTCAGGGATTTTGGAACTTCTGTGACAGCGTCATTATTTGTTACTTGTATATTTATCTTGCTGAGACGCGTGGGGTTTTTTCTTGTTCTTCTCAATTCCATTGATATTTATTTTCTCTTTGGTTTGTTTTTTAGCATTGGTGCTATGAGAACCCAGCTCTTCCTTGCGTCGAAGGAGACCTGCTGTCTCAATGCGAGGCGGAGCGGGTGAGCAGCGGTTTCACGCACTGCGCGCTCACCACAGCGACATGCCGAGTTCAATTCCAGGCTACAGCTAACATCAGCGATGAGTGACATGAAACGGTCCTCAGCTCCCCCTTTCTTCCCGGTTTCACCGACGCCCACTGACCAGAGTGGCGAAGTATGGTCAAACAACCCCGATGAGCGACACGGCGTGGGGTGGCCTTCATCCAGCAGTGGATTGACAGAGGGCTGTAATTTACGTGTAATGACTACGCACGTGGTGCTGCACCCGGGAGTGCTCGCCTTCGTTTGTGCACAGCCCTTCATGGCGCTACACGCCACTGCCCGTCACCTTGAGTAATGTTGAGTATTATAATAATGTGTTGAGTATTATAATAATGTGTTGAGTATTATAATAATGTGTTGAGTATTATAATAATGTGTTGAGTATTATAATAATGTGTTGAGTATTATAATAATGTGTTGAGTATTATATTAATGTGTTGAGTATTATAATAATGTGTTGAGTATTATATTAATGTGTTGAGTATTATATTAATGTGTTGAGTATTATAATAATGTGTTGAGTATTATAATAATGTGTTGAGTATTATAATAATGTGTTGAGTATTATAATAATGTGTTGAGTATTATATTAATGTGTTGAGTATTATAATAATGTGTTGAGTATTATATTAATGTGTTGAGTATTATATTAATGTGTTGAGTATTATAATAATGTGTTGAGTATTATAATAATGTGTTGAGTATTATAATAATGTGTTGAGTATTATAATAATGTGTTGAGTATTATAATAATGTGTTGAGTATTATAATGATGTTGAGTATTATAATAATGTGTTGAGTATTATAATAATGTGTTGAGTATTATAATAATGTGTTCAGCATTATAATGATGTTGAGTATTATAATAATGTGTTGAGTATTATATTAATGTTGAGGGGGGTGGGAAAGGTAGTCAGGCGGCGAGCCGGCACCAACGATTGCCCAAGCTCCGAGGTCCTCTCTATATTATGATGTTCTCGTGCAATTAATGATAATGGTAGCAAACTGGAGCACCCGGAAAGAGAGAGATTGAGAAGGAAAGTGATGAGGTAATGTGATTAGATAAAGTTGTGAGAGATAATATCATGATATAATTTGCATGCATTTAAATAGCTTATTTACGTATTCATTTAAGGTCATTCATCAAAAGGATCAGTTTTCGTTGGTCAATATCATTATCTCATTGTCCGAGAAATGTTCTACTCATGAGCATTTCCAGAACGTATCCCTCGCGAATAACGAGGGGAATGCTGTCCCACCTTCTCCTAGCAAGCCAGGGTATGGTGACCGCGACTCCTACACGGGGGAGGGGGGGTGGGGGGAGGAAGGGGGTGAGAGAGTATTTTGTGCGACCCACCAAAACCCCTCGACCTCCACGGCGTGTGTCACCACCGCCACCACCACGTGTGACGTGAGTGTGAAGAGCTCGGGCGGTGCGTAAACGACGTGGCGTGTGCGTGTGCGTGCGCGTGCGCATCAGCCCTCACTTATTGTACAGCACCAGGTCTGGGAGCCAGATGTCCAGCGAAGGCACGCGGATCTGCTTGATGCCGCCGTAGTCCTCCGGTTTCCATTGCAGGTTGTAATCCGTCCATTGCTGCGACACGCCGAGCAGAGAACAGCGGCGGCGCGATGACGCCCGGACAACTTTGGCCCGGCACGCTTTGTGCGGTAGAAGCGTTTCAAAAAAATATATAATGGGGCGCGCAAAAAGGCAAATTCGCGTAGCGTGGACGGCACGCACAGTCACCCAATCTAGATTGAAAGCTCATTTATTTACAACTGATTTTTGTGCTCAGTTTGTCGTCCTTCCCCCGCACCTCCGATCAGCGCGGTTGGCTAAGTACGGTGCGAAAGACGTTCAACGTACGTACATACCCAACCCACAATGCACCGCACGATACAGCTGCCTGCCGAGTGGCACACACAGTGCGCACAAATGTCAGAATCAGAATCATCCTGGGAGAATTGGATGAGCTATGAAGCTGTTTTTCACAGATGTCATGTCGGGGCGGGTCAGCGAGTTCCAGTGTTGTCCCTCGTCCGAGCGCATAGCCGAGTGTGACTGAATTCAAACCGCATAACATCGAGAATTTTTCGTCGAAATAGGTTATCCGCATATTCGCGAAATCGCACAAACTTAACCCGCACAGAGCGAGGGAAACTAGTATGTGAAAGACACGTAAGTGAATTCACACAAAGGGTAACTTTTGCCAGCTCTGTAACCAATAAACCCCGACTACCTTTGACATGTACACAGAGGTGCAATGGCAGAATTCAGAGGAGCAAGTTAGAATGTGTCGGGTTGTGGAGGGTTACGACACATTTTTACTCGCGCGATCTAACCCAAAAACCTTCATTATGTAGAATAATAATGTTATCATATGTATGTTGAACTTCTTTCACATCGTACATAGCGAACTGTGTGGGGGGAAGGCCAACGAATACTCTCAAATTGCGATTCAAAACGGTGTAAAATTTTGTAACGCGCGCAGTTTTTCGCGCTGAGGCTCGGAAAACCGCAGACAAGCAGGAAGGCATCCAGCACCGGCGCTACCGACGACCACTGCCCAAGCTCTGCGGCCCTATATTTGGGAGTGCTTGGCCAACTCCAAATCCTTCACGAGCGGGTTACCTGCTTGAGCCTGAGGTTGGTCTCCACAATCTGGTTCACCTCATCCTGCGAAACACAACAACAACAAAAGTCTCTCAACAAGCAGCAACCAAATACACAACAGCACCGGTGCGTGTTTCAGCAACGCCCATGGCTAACCATCGAACGTTTGGCTAACTGTCGAACAAAGACGGTCACCGCATCGAGCGCTTTCAGACACGCTTCTGCGGCGGTCTGCAAAGCCCTTCCCCTTCCCATATTAGGAAGTCACTGAAGCTCGGCACTTTGAAATCTAGATTGAAAACTCGTTTCATTAGAACTGTTTTTTTGTGTTTAGGCTGTTGTTCTCCCCCCCCCCGCACCTCCGATTCGCACGGTTGGCTAGGTACGGTGCAAAAGAAGTGCAACAGACTGTTGCGGAACGTGCTGTTAGCGAGCACCACGGGGTTATGCGTGGCCAGCACCACGCCCGGCCGTCTTTGACTCCCCAGTGGCGATGTTTACACACCGCACCAGATACTCATTTTGAGTCAACCTAGGCGAGGCCCAGGACCTGTTCAGATAATCGTCACCGGTTGACGGACGTGAGCGGGAATCGAACTCGGGTCGCCGGGTTCGTAGCGTAGCGCTAACCGCTGCACCACCGCTCTCCTATGCATACACACGGACTCCGTGATACCCACCACGTTGATGAGCTGGATGAGCTGCATGCCCACCACGACGTGCACCAGGTCCTTGTGGTTCTTGACGGGGCGAATGACTTTGTTGTAGTTACGGAAGAGATCCTGCAGCAGCCGCGTCTCGTTCACCCAGTTGGCGACTTCACCGAGGTCCGCAGCGGGCATCGTGGACGATGCTGCCGCTCCTTTCGGCACAAGACAAAGACCCCCGTCGCGTGAAACCTCCAACAGATTTTTCGATTTAAAGCTTTCGTGACTGCAGGGATTCATCTTCTTGGTTCTTTCGGTAAAGTCACGTAGAAGGGAAATAATAAAATAATAATAAAATAAAAATAAATGTTTTATTATGTTTTATTTTAATTATTTTATTATTTCCCTCCAACAGACTGTCGGGGCAAAATGCTGTTAGCGAGCACCTATGACGGCCGGTACGGCGCATGAGGCTGTGGTTGGCCAGCACCACGCCCGTTCGCCTTTGTCTCCTCGGTTGCGATGGCTTACACATCACACCGGGTACTCATTTTAGGCTGAGTCGACGTAGGGAAGGTCCAGGACCGGTTCAGAAAATTGTCACTGGTATTGGCCATGAACGGTTATTTATTTCGGGTCGCTGGGTTTCGTCGCGCAGCGTTTATTGACGAGCACGGTTGGCTACGTGCGGTGCGAAAGAAGTTCAACATAGTACGTACACACGTGCAGTTGCGATAACCCACTGCGCCACCGGCCCCCCCTTCGGCACAGCCGCACGCATTCACGCAGGGCGACCTCGCCTCCACCGTGAACTCACGACACAAGGAGAGGACTTTTTTTTCTTCCGAAGATGTGCACTCGGTGCTTGGAGGACATCGGGCCATCGCGTGGCAGGATCTATGATGGGTCTAAAGAAGGCTGAGGAGTTCGACCGGTGTTCCTCACTCATTTGCAGAGGGGGGGAGGGGGTGGCACCTTCGCCGACGAGACTTCCCGGGTGCGAGGGCCGTCACACATTTGAAACCACTTGGGTTTGACTTCGCGCTGATGATGGGGGATGTTTTCCCTGCCTGTGTGTTGTCAGCGGCCGCACTAAAGGCCACCCAGAGCCGCCGGTGGCCCGCGGGCCTTGCAATGAAGAACACCCCGAGTTAGATTACTTGTGATTTCCCAGTGCCACATTGCTGCATATTGCCCCCCCCCCGTCCCCATTGTTTAGATTTGATCGAGAATCTCCTTATAAGACCGCGCTAGTGGGTACATGAGGCCATACCAGAGACACCGCAGGGAGAGGCCTCTTTAGCTGCGGCCACTCGTGTGGATGGAAACGAAACAGGCGCACGGCCGAACGAAACGAACGCCTCTCGAACGCGCAACAAGAGCGGTGGTTATTCTGTGCAGACGCACGGCGGAGCGATGACTCCGCGCCGCGGATGAAAGCAGCAGATCGTCGATGTAGGGCGAGTTGGGTGATCGCTTCTCATCGTGAGATTCTGCAATGCGGTACCCAAACGGAAGAAGCCTCTCCAAATCGCGACAAAATAACCACGAGGAGTGCGGCAAAAGAAGAAAAAACGGAACGAACTCGTCGAGAGAGAGATAATCAAAAAATCGCTCTATAAAGTGTTTTCGTGAAACTAAAATGTGTAAACTCTCGTGCGACAAGTGGCACTGCGAGCGGCTGTCTCTTTTGTGTGTTTTTGTGCCAGGAAAGCTGAGCCAGGCGACATCCGGCTGCGAACGTCCAGAATAGAACCACGGGCGTCGTTTCCCCGGCACTTGCCGCTGTCAATCACGCGCGGCGCGCGCACGCGAACTCTTTGTGCGAACGCAACAATCGGTCTTCAGTCGTCGCAAATCTCGACGCGGTCGGAGTAACAGCGAAATCACGACTGGCTTTGCCCACCCTTGGCTACGATCCCGCTGGAAGCCCCCCCCCCCCCCCCACACTCCGGCAAAGCAACCAGCGGTGACAGCGCTGCTGCTCGCGATGCGTTCACGGTCAAACAGCGGAGACCGCACTCCGTTACAGCCATTGCCTCTCACTCACTCGCAAGGGGGTAGCGGCGGGAGGGGAGGGGGGGGTGGAGCAATGTAATGGCACCTCGAGGCACACAACGACACACACACGGACAGCAGCTTCGACTCACTGAAGCACGCGGCGAAGAAGACGGAGAACTTTAAGAACTCCATCCCGAAGAGCTCCCTCGGTCCCGACCGCCCCGAGCCTCGATCTTCTGAGCGCGACTAGTGACAGAACAGCTGGCAGCCCCTCCCACGTGTCCACTCCTCCCCTCCAAGCGCGTCAGTTGTCGAGCGAGCAAGTGACAGGCGTCCGATCTTGAGCCCCGTGATGATGGCACGTGCGTATGCAACTGGGAAATTTACAGTGAGCAAGACCCTCTCCGTGAGATTTGATCCGAAACCAGCCGGGTCATATCCACACCGGCTGGGGGAGGGGGGTGTGTTGAGTCAAAGGTCAAAGGTCATCCCTGCACAAATGGGCAATGGGCAGCACTCATCCCCATTGGTGGACCTGAACTGGTGTCGTCAAATCCGAATTCCCATGGTCTGGAACAGTCTCTCTATAGGATCACTACTACCGACCTCCCACAATGCGGTGAATGCCCAAACAATATATCTTTTGCCTTCGAACCGAATGTTATCCCGACTGTGCTGTTGATGTCAAGTCACGAGAAGGTGCATCACCCCGTGTCAGAGAACAGCCCATTGAAGAAGATATCACAGAACCACATCTGAGATCCCTTCAACGCAGTTGGGACAACAGTTTACCCACACACCCTGTCACACAGAGCAAGAGTGACGTTACATGGCAGTCAAACATATACTTTTAATTCTCAGCGCCAGAAATTCAGCCAAATTAAATGCAAGGTCAAATTTAACGTGAGGGTTTTTTGTGTGTGTGTGTGTGCAGTCATTGGTGAACCAGGCAGATGCCATCAATTTAACTGTACCTGAAAACGCTTGTCTAAATCACACGAAGCTGCCTGGATTTGCACCCCAGGATTTCGACGGTGCCAGCTCAGCACTTGACACCTGAGCCATCCAGCCACCTCCCGATATAATTCTTGAAAAAAAAAGTAGTTTGCATGTATACAAAATAAGATGACTCAACGTGTTGAGAAACACATTTAATAACTTACATCGTAAAGCACATCAATACAGTGAATGTACAGCCAAGTTCTGCACAACGGTGGCACGCATCTTGAGTTTGCTTTTCAGAAGTGACACAAAATGAATCGCCCCCACCGGGTTGATTGGTCACGGCTCTAACGGCACGCCGAGCCAGAGATCCGCACGCTCGTGAAGACGGGACGCACACACGCGCACACGCGGACGGACTCGAACAAAGACGGTCACTGCATCGCGCGCTTTCAGACGCGCTTCTGCGGCCGTCTAGAAAGCTCTCCCTTCCGATGTTGGGAAGCCACTGAAGCTATGCACTTTTAGATCGAAAACTCATTTCTTGAAAGTACATTTTTATGTTTAGTTTGTTGTCATCCCCCCCACACCTCCGAGTAGCGCGGTTGGCTACGTACGGTGCAAAATAAGTTAAAAATGCGTACGTACGTACAGCACGGACCGTGCAGTCCTCACTGCCGTCGGCCACACCAGCGAGCCGTCGTGCTCGCACAGAGCCTGGACACCTTGAACGTTACACGACGGCCACGAGCGTGGGAAACGTTCAGTGGCCACACCCCCAACCCCCCGCTCGTGGGTTGTTTCGAATCGGTTGAAGACTGCGACTCAACGAGCCGGTTTGAATTCACGACGCGAGTTTGAAGACCGCTTTCGGGGGGGCGCGTGGAAGCTTTTCTTTTTAAACCGACGCTGCCATCACACGATGGAATAAAAAATGAGCAAAAAGGCCCCCTGCCCCCTTGTGTTTACGAGACGACGCTCCGTGATGAATGACAAGACAACAAACAAACAAAAACAAGACACGTGTGCGAACGGGGCGATGTTTTGGGCAAGGCGCGCGCTGCTTGCGACGAGTCGGCCGCGTCTTTGGACTCGGCACGCATCTCCGCCTCTTAAGAGCCCTGCAAGGGAACCCTCTCTGTCGAGACTGCACATCACACGCGAGCACGCAGGCAGTGTCGGGCTGCCCAACAACGCGACAACGCTCGCTGGAGCACCACGACGCTGCTGTGCTTTTGACAGCGACGGAAGCGCTGATCTCGAGCACGCCAAAGCGATTTGTTCCGACGCATTCCTCATCCAAAATGGCTCAGAAATGTCAACTCGTCAAACACTGCCGAGGCATTATGTGACAGATGTGAGGCTTGCAATGAGTGGCGAGTCGCTCAAACAGCATGGATCGCCATGCATGTCCTTGGTTCACATTTGACAGAGTATTACTTCGTCCCCAACAAAAACACATTACCGTGTCACACAAATCTTTGAACTCAAATACTCGGGGAGGGGATCTTTTTGTAAATACAGTTGCGTGTTGGAATTACTCTTTAAAGCTGATTTTTTTTTTAATGACGATACAAGTGCAAAGAAAAATGTCTTGGTGAGCTGCATTGAAAAGGTTATTCGGCCGAGCCTTGGTGTAGCATCACCCAACGTGACATGGAGACAAGGCAGGTCCCGTGGCATCGTGTAACTGGTATGGGCCCCGGTGTCAGGGATGAATGGGGCACCCACCCGGTCCAATTTCCCCTTCGTAGTACCTGGCCTGCGATTCACCCATTGGTTACACACCGCCTGCATGCTCGATACGCGGTAGCGCCGCAGTGGTGAGATGTTAACTACCTCGCCTGGTCTACAGGAGGTCGTGGGTTCGATCCCGACCCTGCCGCCTGCTGTCTGTGTAGAATTTGCCTGTTTCCTTTGGCTCCCCGTGGTCGCGTGGATTTGTCTCGGGGTCCTGCGGTGTTTCTCCTCCACATTCAGCATCGACGTGCATGGAGAGTACGATGTGTCTGCTGCTAAACATTTCCCCTTGATAATAATCCACTTCGTTTGAGCTGTCATCTGTAATAGCCAGGGTCGCTTGCGAAAGAGAGCTGCGTATCTCAGTGCGCTTTACCTGGTAAAAAAATCATAGTTTCGTTTTATATGTTGTTGTTGTTGTTTTTATCAGTCACACGAGAGCGGTTCGCGGTCGTGTGATAGCACGTGTGACGAGGAGCACTACGACTTCTCCTCACATCGGCAGTGGAAAAAAGCAAAGTGGACTCGGGCAGAACGCATGTCACCGTATAGTTGGAGTTTCGCCTCGGTCGAGTGGATTTTTCTCCAGCCCCTCTGGTTTCTCCCTCCACATTTAGAATCAACGCGCGTTTCGAGTATTTGGCCGCTGTAAATTTCCACAAGTCACTTCGTCGAGCTATGAATTGTCACAGCCAGGTCGCTTCTGAAAAAACGAGCTAAAGAAGCTCAGTGGGCATTACCTGGTAAATTAAAATAAATATTTCGATTTAAAGCTTTCGTGACTGCAGAGATTCATCTTCTTGGTTCTTTCGGTAAAGTCACGTAGAAGGGAAGTAATAAAATAATAAAAATAAAACATAATAAGATAATTCTCACGACGTTTTCGGCCACAACGCAAGCAGCCGTCCTCAGGTGAAGACCAGGTCTGTCGGGGAGACAGCGTCTGAAGACAACAAACAAACAAAAACAAGACACGCTGTCTCCCCGACAGACCTGCTCTTCACCTGAGGACGGCTGCTTGCGTTGTGGTCGAAACGTCGTGAGAATTATTTTATTATGTTTTATTATTTTATTACTTCCCTTCTACGTGACTTTACCGAAAGAACCAAGACGTTAAAATAAATAGTTGAGTTTTTTACTTTTCAGTTTAGATAGCTACCCCTGGCTGGGTCTGGTCCATCCCATGCCGCAGGAACATGAACATTCCACCGGGGGCCTTGGAGAGCAACGGCACCGTGGCGGCCTGTTTCTTGGGCGAGGTGGCCCTACACCAGGCAGGTATGACGGATTGCGCCGAGGTGGTTACGTGTGCGTGCGACGCCGACCTGAAGGGGGGCAAAGGGGTTCCCTGGTAAGAAGCTGTGCAGCAGACAGGGGACTGAACCTATCTGCGTGGAGTGTCGAGAGCCTGTGCGTTGTGGTTTTCTCCGCGTACTCCGCTTTCATTCCACGTGAAAAGGAAATGCCCTCGGGTAAACACGTGATCGTTAAAGCACCTGCTCGAGAGCCACGTACATATATAAATGTGTCCAGCGTCGGGGGCTGCGCGTATTCAAGGCCTGCTTTGGCGTTTTTCACAACAGCCACACTTGTGTAAAACATAGCACAGTGCAGTCGCGGAAGATTAACAGCTGCGGAAAGCGAGGGAAGGGCGGCGGCGGGGAGGGGGCAGAAGTAAAAACTGCCTCGGGCAGTTTCACCAGCATCACAACGCGGCTATTTTGGTCAGGTGATATCACAGCTGTGCACTGCACACCTTGTCTCGAGGTGACAAAGAGCGTCGGAACTCGCGGCTTGGAGAATGGTTGGGGGGGGGGTAGCCGAGCGGACGTTCTCGCCGGTGAAACGAGTGACGGGTCTCGCAGTCGCGTTACTCCGATGGGATTTAACCAACAACGCTTGCGGACTTCCCGAGATGAAGCGAGCGTTTTTTTCTAGGTTTTTTCTTCTCGTAAATGAACACGGGCACGGCAACCCAAAACTTTTTTTTTCCAATTCTTAGGTGGGAAATAAAATAAAAAGTGAAACTGGGTCACGGGTCGCACACGTTACAACAGAAAGCGATAGCTATCGGAATATAATTCAGTCGGGTGTCAACAACAGCCTCACCAACCCCCCCCCCCCCCTCTTCATGCAGAGGTGCCGCGCCAACGACTTCATCCCGGAATTTCACACAGGAATCCAATGTGGATCCCCCCCCCCACCCTTCCCACCCCATTACCAACCCACCCCCCCCCCCCAAAATCAATGCAACAGCATTGTGACGCATACACAGCTCAAATAAATTATGCGTGGAGCGGCATGTAAACAATAACGAAAGCTATAGTGTGAACGAAATCATCATTTCGTCGGAAACAAATTGATAGACAAATTTCAGAAAAGCCGTTTAGTCGCTTGGCTGACGTTTGGCCCCGATAACTTGAGCCGAGGCCCTGAAGGCAACGCTGGCGCACTGGGACAGCACGCCACTCGCTCTCGAGCTTTCAAGATTTACCCATCTCATTAAAGGGGTGGCACAAAAATAAATACCCAGCACTGTAAACCATTGAATTCCCCACATGTGCACAAAATTAGATTCACATTACAGCTGGCATTATAACCAATGCTGTACAGTGTGGCGGTGAAGTGACATTTATCGAGAAATTTGCTCTTGCGACCGTACAAGCTACAGGATGCCAGATCATGGTGAACTGCAAAGTATACCAGTTCACTTTTTTTTCTCTACTCAAAATATCAACAAATTATTAATCAGGCAGAGACCTAAAGAGACACCCCGCCCAGATAACTATCTCCAGCGCAATCGTCGCAACGCCGCGTGACAGCGAGCAGCCACAGCTGGGCGAGTCCCGTGGCCTCCTCTGCCTCCTTCTCCAGCCCAGCTGGATCGCAGAGCCCAAAGTGGCGGCGATGACAAAGTGGCCGGTTGTGGGCGCAAGGAACGAAGGTCCGGGAGTGAGCCTCCTCCTCTCCCGAGAGGCGGGCCCTTGTCCCGCACTCCGAACGTCGGCAAGATCCCCACTGTGCGCCGAGTCGGGTGGCCAGGTGAGCAGAGGGAGCGAGCGGCTGACGGGTGTTTTTCAAGTGGGGGCCCTCCCCCACCCCCAGACAATACAAGCCCCCCGCTGCTATGGGAGGAAGGGGGCGGCCTTCGCCCCCCCCCACCCCACCCCCTCCACCCCACCCCCTCCACCCCACCCCCTCCACCCCACCCCCTCCACCCCACCCCCTCCACCCCCCGCCACCACCGCAGGGTGGCGAGGGCGTCGCCGGTAGGTGGCTCCTCAGAAGAGGATCTCCTCGTTGTTGATGAGCGTCTCGATGACGAGGCGCTGGTAGCGGATGTCGTTGAGGGTGGCGAGGACGTCCTGCTCCGGCGGCCGCATGAGCGTGGGTCCAAAGACGATGGCCAGGTTCTCGGCGCTCATCAGGTTTTCCTTGGAGTAAAGTGTCACCCTGCGGCACGCCGCGCCACAGCCAAGAGCACAAACACGCGGGCGGCAACCGTCAGACCACAGCTCAGATCCTACCGTGCGCGTGCGTGCATGTGTGCGTGCGTGTGTGCGTGCGTGCGTGCGTGCGTGCGTGCGTGTGTGCGTGCGTGTGTGCGTGCGTGTGTGTGTGCGTGTGTGCGCGCGGGGCTGCGTGCCTTTGCGAGATTACCGCCCATCGTCCTTGCCGAGCCAGCGCGAACGCAATCTCGGGTAAGAATGCCGCTGCACGGCAATAATGCGCTACGCGTGGACCGCGTGACGCTTTCCATCGTGCGTCCGCATTCGATGAGCGGTGTGGAAGCCGGTGGGGGGAGCTATCAGAGGGCAAAACGTGCATCGGCGTATTTGCTAATGGTCCCTCGTGCTCTGGTTTGTGTCTCCAGGTGTTGGGGAACGCTTTTAATCAATTTGGCCGCGTTTTAAATTGGGTACTTCCTTCAAGGCGACGTAACTTTGCACTCCAGGCAAGCGGCCAGAGATAATGCATGAATGCCTTCGACCTCGGCTGGAAACCGTTAAGAACACCGAGCTGCACGCGTGCAAACTGACATTCGCACGCAACAACGCGGCGTCTGGCCACCGGGTTGAAGCGTCACGGCCGTCAACCTGCACGGAGAGTTCGATGGCGTCGCACGGTGCACGCACAACCGCTCGAGGTGTCACGGTGCGAGACTAACCGCTTGAATGTATGCATGTACGTATGTATGTTGAACTTGGCAGCAAGTGTCACAGCGGTGTCACGGCGCGAGACTAACCGCTTGAGGTGTGCCATGAGGTAGCGCAGACTCTCGTAGTGAGCGGGTGGCAGCAGTCGCAGCGCCTCGTGGATCCCCTCCAGCCGCTCGTCTGCGTCCATCAGCTCTGCAGCACAGGGGCCATCCCTCTCCTCAGAGACCGTCGCGCGCCACCAACTTACCCACGGCCACTTCTAAGCGTGTGTACAACGGCCATCGTCGTCCGGGCGGCCACCCCCGCTCTCACGTGGGCCCGGGGTAAAGGCTCGGCTGCCGGGCCGGTGAGCCGGCGGTGAAAATATCCCACGGCCATGCCACAGAGGTGAGAGAAACAGTGCCTTATCTTGGATAATAATAATAATAATAATAACCAGTGCAATGAATGCCATTCGTACACCGTGGTGGTACGTCGTGCTGACGGACACGGATTGTTATTTAAAGGGAATAATTCATACATCAGAATCTTTGGTTTAGACTGGAGGAGGAATCCGATGAGCTATGAAGCTCTTTTTTTTACACAGATGTCCAGTAAGGGGGCAGAGGTCGCAAATATATTCCAAGGTGTGAGACAACTGGGAGTGTTTTGGAGAAAGTTGGACCAACTGATGGATTTTAAACAATCTGTTCTGCTGGAGGAACAAGAACGTTTACATTTTAAGGCGAAGGGATGAATTTAAAACCCCAAAATGCACCCGGGCAGGTCATGTTTGATGTGCCAGTGATGTGAAGGGCCGGTGGTCCCACACAAGTGGCGAATCGCGATGCGAAGGGCAACGGATTGGAAGGAGAGATGGCCCAGGATGGGAATAAATGGAGAAAAAGAAGAAGTTAGTAGAAGACAGAAGTGACAGCTCTCTCACTTGAAGCGTCGATAAACTTGGGGTAGGCGTCGTAGGTGATGAGTGGGATTGGCAGGTCTCGGAAGTAGAGCTTGAGGGCTCCGGTGATGATGTTGATGTCGTCGTACGAGTTGGCCGAGATGTCGGCCTTCTCGCCATCTGTGCGGACAGCGAGGTGCACAGCAAAGCGCAGACATGACCTTTCCATACGCAAAGATCCCCCGCGTAACCTTAACAGGCTGTCGGAGCACCTATGAAGGCCGGCACGGCGCACGAGCGGGCGCATGGCCAACACCACGCCCGGCCGCCTGTGTCTCCCCAGTGGCGATGTTTACGCACCAACGCACCAGGTACTCATTTGAGTCTGAGTCAAGGCCCAGGACCGGTTCAGATAATCGTCACTGATACTCTTAGGTTTTTCCGGTAAAGTCATGTAGGTAAAAAATTTAAATTAATAAAAGTTAAATATTTTATTTTACTTTTATTAATTATCCTTGCAGTCACGAAAGCTTCAAATCTAGAATCGTCACTGATGTTGGCTGCGAGCGGGAAACGAACTCTGGTCGCCGGGTTCCTAGCGCGGCACGCTAACCGCCACACAAAACCGGCCCTAGACCTTTGGGGGCCCTAAGCAAAATTTGGTTGGAGGCCCCTTTGATGTATGATTGTTTTCACCCACTAGCTAGCAGTGACTCTAGGGGGCCCCCTCTGCTGGCCACGGGGCCCTTTGCAATTGCAAGGGTCGCTTAGTGGCTGGGCCGGCTCTGCCGCCACACGACCACTACGCACACACGCACACGAAAACCACTAGTGCACACACGCCACCTCTTTTCGCCGGAGATGCACACCTTCCACCGTTGCGTGTGGCGGAACGTGTGTATTGAGCTGCAGTTGCATCGGCGAGCTCTAGGAATCCCGACTGTGTTGCATCGAGACTCGCAGGAAAGTACGGACTTGGCTTGAGTTTCGTTCGCAAATATGTCGATCAAACACAAGGGAGAACTGTAGATATCCAAAATATTATTTTCTGCCAAAAACAGTAAGTGCATCGTGGTGTCAGAGGCCGAGCCCCGTCGTTTCAGAGGAGACGAACTTTCACCACTTTATTTTCACGCGCCTAACTGTGGCCGTCTGAGAACGACGTAACCTAAGCCATCGGAGACGGAGTCTTTTGCTTGGTATTGAGATTCTACCACGTAGGATTTCGCAAAAGCCTACGTGGCTGTCACCTGATGAAGCTAGTTGTAATTCCTGGCGAAACGTCGTACTCGGATTGTAAATGTTGTGGCTTGGCTCTCCAACACACAACCGGTTAGTGCTGTACCGGTAACGAATTGGCCACGTTCCGTTTACGTGACAAACCTTACTAATTGGCTGTGTCGGGTGGCGGCGGGTTTAATGACACATTTATATATTTACGCGATCTAACCCAAATAAAAACACCTGTGTCATGGAGATTCTCCCGTCGGGGGTCTCTCTGCCGCCAGCAGAGGGCAGGATGCGTCACTAAATGAAGGCAGCGAAAAAGACCAGTCCATGTACCCGACCACAACAACCCATTTGTTCGGTACAATCGAATTCAATGCCTTCATTCTCACCAGAAAACACACTTCCCCCGAAGGTGTTTTCAGTAAAATATCGTGATGGAAATCGGGGGGGGAGGGGGAGGTGGGTGGCGGGGGCGTGGGATGATTAATCTAATTTTCTTGGATGGATTCGTATCTCACACAAGTTGCATTGCAACAGCTCATCTGCCAAAGCTCAGAGGGGTCCAAATTGCAGTTAATAATGAATGACTTTATTTCGAAATATTCAAATTTGCTTTGACATTCAACAACATTCCGCTAAAGACCATCAGCAATTTAGCATTCCTTTGACGCCCGCCGAAGCGTAACGATGCTATTCCTTCCAGGTATTCATCTGGTTATGAGCAGCCGCTTCAATTATGCTAATCGGCCACAACGACCGAATCATTAGGACTCTTTAATTTGCCACTTGGGGCAGAAACATCTGTGCTGCGTGTAATCGGAGGAGAAGAATGCGGCGTGGGTTTGCGAGATTCACAGCCGTTACCGCCTGTGGCACCGCTCGTTCGGGGGCAATGAAGGAACTGGGTCGACGCGGCGGCTAGGAGATGTCGTCACCCTCGCCCCGTACGCGGGAGGTCGTGGGTTCGGTTCTGACCCTGACGCCTGCTGTATATTTGAAGTTTGCGTGTCTCTCTCACTCCTCGTGGTCACGTAGATTTTTCTCCGGGTCCTCCTTTTTTTTTTCCCCCTCCCATATTATAGAAACACGCGTTTAGATTACGTATGTATGTACGTTGAACTTCATTGGCATCGTACAACTCGCAGGTGCAGATTATTTGGCTGCTATAAATTATTTGGCTGCTGTAAGTTTCCACATGCCGAGGCCACTTTGTTGAGCTATCATTTGTAGTCGCGAGGCCGCTTCTGAAATAATAATAATAAGTAATATTACTTTTTTTAAACACGCTTTAATGAAATGTACCGTACGAGTAATGGAAGAACTCCACGACTCCAGGAAGTGGCCCCGAAGCTTGCCACAACGTAAGGGACCGTGGTCATTTACAGCCAACTTCAGTTTACCGTGGACAATTAGAGCCAAGCCGAACCATAACATATAAAAATGTTGTAAAATATATGTTTTGAATTTTTTATGATAGAATATAGTATTGTCATCAGTATGACATACGTATACCAAGTTTGCAGTCGATACCACATTGGGAAGTGGGTAAAAATTGCGTTACAAGATTTGAGGATACGACAACAGACAAGAGTGAATAGAAAGCGTGTAAAAAGATCGTTTATATATTTTTTTTTATGATAGAATATAGTATTGTCATCAGTATGACAAAAGTATACCAAGTTTGCAGTCGATACCACATTGGGAAGTGGGTAAAAATTGAGGAGACAACAACATCAGACAGAGAGTGAGTTAATAAAAATCGTTTAAAAAAGAGCGACACAGCTCTGTGGGCCTTACCTGGTGAAATAAAAAAACAAGAGTTTAGTTCAGCAGGGCAAGGGCGCCCCCCCCCCCCCCCCCCCCCCCCCATCGAAGCCTCCGACCCGCGCGGGCCCACGCTCGCCTACCTCTGTCAAACGCCATCTTGACGTCCTCGATGTGCTCGCTGAAGCCAGACACCCTGTAGAGGCCTTCGGAGCGCAGCCCTAAGCTCAACCGAGGGATGCAGGTGGCGGAGTTGGGGCGGGGGGGGGGATGTGGGGGAAGACGGGAAGGCAGCGATGAGGCCACAATGTCTGGAGGGAGGCCGTTGCGATCGTAAACAAGAAATAGACGCAGACGGCATGCTCACATGCGTACACACACGAGCCTCCCCGGGGAGGTCCGGAGGACAATGAAACGTAATTGAGCCTCAGCGGTGCTCGCTGCAGCACTGCACCACGAACCTCCGGCGACTCGAATGCGACCGAACATCGGTGGTGAACGATATCTCGATTGGTCTTGGCCAACACCCCCCCCCCCATTTCATTAACCTTCACTGATCAAAAACGACGAAGTATGATCCAACTCCATGCCCGAACGCCGTGTGGGGAAGCCTTCATCCAGCGGTGAATTGACAAGTGATGGTATGTCGCCTATCTTTCGTTCAGGTCTGGCTGTGGTGGCAGGTTCGTGGTGTCTGTCAGCTCCACATCAACCCTAGTTATTATCAAGCATTGTCTATGGAACGACTGCATGTGCCACTGAAAATAGACACATGGGTCCTTGCGCTCCACTTCCCAAAAAAACAAACATGTCGACTCTCGCATCTCAACTTGCACAGAGGTCTCTCCTCTGCCTGCGGCGTCGCCTCCCGGTGCTGACCTGCAGTTCGAGAGCGCCCCTGCTGCTCGTAAAATAACGAATCAACGGAGAGGTTTCTACGTCGCTGGCTTGAACACTCAAGAGTTTACGAAAAGGGGAAAAATAAAGTCCCCCCCCCCAGACAAACCGACGGGTAAATAGCGATTTGACGCGTCGGCTATCGCGACCAAATATTATCCACAATGTTGTGGGTTTACTCTCCAACACACCGGTGTGCTGAAGTAGTAACTAATTGGCATGTTTTTTTTACGTGATAAACCTTACTAATTGGCTGTGTCGGGTGGTGGTGGGTTTAAAGACACATTCATATTTACGCGATCTAATTAAAAAAACTTTATTATGGATAAATAACGACCGCACAGCAGAGAGAGGCAGCGAGGCCCTTGTGTGTGTGGCGTGTTTGGTGTGTGTTGTGTGTATGGTGTGTGTTGTGTGTATGGTGTGTGTTGTGTGTGGTGTGCGAGTAGTGTGTATGGTGTGTGTTGTGTGTGGTGTGTGAGTAGTGTGTGCGGTGTGTAGTGTGTGTGGTGTGTGTGTGTAGTGTGTGCGGTGTGTGTGTGGTGTATTGTGTGTGTGTATGGTGTGTGTTGTGTGTGTGGTGTGTGTTGTATGCGTGTGGTGCATCTGTGTATGGAGAATCACAGCGCATGCTACGCACGCGCTGTGATTCTGAGCGCACGTGCGTGTCGTGTATATACGGAGCGCACATATATACAGGATTTTGGCTTTCGATCGAACAAAGATGGTGACTGCATCGCGCGCTTCCAGACGCGCTGCTGCGGCCATCTGTGAACACACTTCCCATATGAGGCAGCCACTGGAGCTATGCACTTTTAAATCATCGACATTGAAAACGAATTTCTTTAAAACTGCTTTTTGTGTTTAGTTTGTTCTCCTTACGCCACCCCTCACCCCAACGCAGCTCCGATTAGCACAGCTGGCAACGTACGGTGTGCGAAGGAAGTTCAACGTAGGCACACGCAAGCAGACCGCATGGACGGCGTGCGTGGAGTGCTCCCTCCTGAGAGGGCTGCTCACCGCGCATCTCAATCTCCTTGATGCACATGTCCACCACCATGGGCCGCTTGCGGTTGTGGGCCTTGACGAGCGTCGTGAGGTCACAGCTGTACACCTTCTTCACGTGCTTCAGGTCCGGCTCGCAGTCGTGGGGAACCACCTTGGAGCACTGCTTGTGCACGTTCAGGCCGCAGTCTGCACACGCGCACAAAGACAAAGATCCCCCCGTGGAGCCTCCACAGACTGTCGGTGGCAAGTGCTGCTAGCGAGCACCTATGAAGGCCGGCACGGCACACGAGGGGGGGTGGGGGGTGCGTGCGTGGTGGCCAGCACCATGCACGCACGAACCATAGAGTTGTGTCTGTATGTGCGGGTCATTTAACGACAAGGCCTGGGACAGGGGGCCCAGTAAACATGGGCAAAAGTTGGTACTCGGTCGTAACAGTTGGACCAACGTTCTATCTTCACCGGTTGCCTATTTCCCAAGTAAAGCCTGCGCCCGGCAGCACCACCTGAACTAATGAGCGCCATTTCTTTTTCATGCCTGGAGCACGTGCAAATTCTATCAAGCCCCGGGGAGGATCTGCTTGCCCCTTTTGGAACTGAACCCTCTCCCATTCCGATGACGAACGTGAACAAATGGCAATGGCAGCCGTACGTACCACACATTGCTTCAGCCATCGAGATACCATCATTCACATGAAAGGGATACAGAGCATTGAAGGCTGATGCAATCCAAACTCAAATTGCTTTTATCCAGTAGACACACACTCAGGCTGTGTGTTCCAGGCCGTCTGACATGCGCTCGAAAGTTCATAAATAAAAAGACTTTAAAGTTACCATCAAGCGCTCCATCATAAAGCTCCAATTATGTCACTACGCCAACGTATTAAAAAATATGGGACGTCACTCGGGTTCGATAACATAACTTGAAGATCGTTTATTTTTTGGTCCGATTAATCTTCAAACTGATGCAAGAAAGCCAGATAAAAGTTGCTTTCCCTTTGATTTCCATCCTCTCTAAATACTATCTCGAGAATAGGTTTTACCCTTTTTTCTGGCAACAAAACAGGTGTTAAAATGTTAAAACAACAAACTGCATTAACCACAATGCTTGTGATTTAAAGATTTCGTGACTGCAGGGATTCATATATAATTGTTTTATATTTATATTATTTTATTATTTCCCTTCTACGTTACGTTACCGAAAGAACCAAGAATATAATATATGCATCGTCTTTGAAACTGATTGGTCTTAACACCGTTTTGAGACGAGGCTCAAAAGAAAGCTGTCTCGGGTGTGGACCAATCAGTTTCAAAGACAATACCTACATTATCAGAGTATGTTTTTTGTTTGCATTCTGACCACAAGAATTGTGGTTAATGCAGACATGATTCCTTGTAAAAGGTTTCAGTTTGGTGTTTTAACATCTTAACACCTATATTCTTGGTTCATTCGGTAAAGTCACGTAGAAGGGACTTTACTGAAAGAACCAAGATATGAATCCCTGCAGTCACGAAAGCTTTACATCGAAATCTTAACACAGCTGTTTTGTTGCCAGAAAAAGTGGGAAAACCTATTCTCATATTTAGGTATTGGCAAAGGAGGTCCCATGATAAACACCCTCTCCCGATTGCCGAGGCTTTTCTCAGCCTCTTCTCCCGGTGCCTGTCGACCGCCAGGAGCGCGGTCCGGGGAGTTCGTCGCCTTCTGTCGCTTGGCAACTGTCATCGCTCCACTGCTAAGAGTGGACAAGCATTCACGCACGAGATGCGTGCACTGTTGCACAGCTGAGTCGTCTCGGCAGAGCAAACCACCTGGGCTTGCGTGGTTACAATTTATTTATTTTCCGCAACCGTCTGATAATGAGCTGAGCTCTAACAGAGTAAACGGGGGGGGGAGTTTCAGACATCGCAATGAAATTATTATGATTTCGTATTTTTTTTGTCTCTCTCTCTCTCGGAAGCTCCGATTCTTTCATCTGCTCACAAACCGCGAGATGAAACGATATCGGCCGATTCAGCAAAGCGCGTGGCTTGCGGAGCGATGCACGTACGTATGTACGCGTGCACGTTGAACTTCTTCCGCGCTGTACGTAGCCAACCTCCCTCTCATCGGAGGTGGGGGGGTGGAGGAACAAACTAAACACAAAACAGCAGTTACATCATTGGAACCTCATTTGCCAGTAGCAAAATGTGATAATTGGTTTTTTACCCTTTTATCTGGCAACAAAACTGACACCTTTTTTTTTACAAGGAGTCATGTTTGCATTGACCACAATACCTGCAGTCGGAATGCAAACAAAAAACACAACTCTGATAATGTATGCACTGTCCTTGAAATTGATTGGTCCACACCCGAGACAGCTTTCTTTAGAGCCTCGTCTCACATGGTGTTGGACCAGATGACGCCAAAAGACGCACAACTCAAAGACAATGCACCATCAGAGTATGAGAGCTCGGGGTAAGCATTTACACCATTGGAACCTCATTTGCCAGTAGCAAAATATGTTTTTTGTTTTTTGTTTGCATTCCGACTGCAGGTATTGTAGTCAATGCAAACATGACTCCTTGTAAAAAAGGTGTCAGTTTTGTTGCCAGATAAAAGGGTAAAAAAATAATTATCAAAACAGCAGTTATAAACAAATGAATGTTCACTCTTAGTTTTTATCGGTAAAGTCACGTAGAAAGAAAAATATATTAAATAATAGCATACGACGTTTCGATTGCAACACACGCAATCATCATCAGGTACAAATGAAATAGAAAACAAACATAGTAAAGCTTAGAAATAGAATGCAATACAACGCAGATAGTCGGCTAACATAACAGTCAACACCCTACCTTCCAAAGATTGCTCCAAATCAAGTGAGTGTTCAATGTTCAATCTAGGGATGACGTTCAAATAGCGCAGCCGCCACCGCCGTTGCAGACGCGCTGTCCCAGGAGGCGCTACGCTTACATAATGCAGCACACCTCGAGCCTGCCAGCCCGGACGCCCGCCACGCAGACCGTGACCTCGTTTCCAAAAGCAGGCCACAGACCCGCCGGAAAACAACAAAACTCGGTCAGCGCTGCAGCCCAAAGACATGAACACTCGACCAAATCTACATCTTCGAATTGAATTGCTACCGACTCATTCCGGGCAACTTTCATTCAGTTGAAATTATTCCGTCAAAAAAAAAACAATTACGGATTAATTGAGAAGCACGGGCGAGGAGAGCAGGGAGTGGCGCACGATTGTGCGCATGATACTGAATCGCAGCAAAGATAGAGACAAATGCCCCCCCCCCTCTCCTCCTTTTTCGTCTGTAACAGACTGTTGGGGTAAGTGCTGTTAGCGAGCACCTATGAAGGTGGACACGGCACACAAGGGGGTGATGGGGGTGTCCAGCACCACGCCCGGCCGCCTTTGTCGTACTAGGTACTCATTTGAGGCCGAGTCGACCTAGGGGAGGCCCAGGACGAGTTCAAATATTCGTCACCGATGTTGGCCGTGAGCGGGAATCGAACTCGGGTCGCCGGCTACGTAGCGCAGCGCGCTAACCGCTACACTACCGCTCGCTCCCCAAAGACAAAGATCCCCCGTATAGCCTGAACAGACTGTAGGGGCAAGTGCTGTTCGCGAGCACCTATGAAGGCCGCAACGGTACACGAGGGGGAGGGTGGCCAGCACCACGCCCGACCGCCTTTGTCTCCCTAGTGACGATGTTTACACACCGCACCAGGTACTCATTTGAGGCTGAGTCGACCTAGGAGAGGCCCGGGACCGGTTCAGATAATCGTCACTGGTGTTGGCCGTGAGTGGGAATCGAACACGGGTCGCCGGGTACGTAGCGCAGCGTGCTAACCGCTACACCACCGCTCCCCAACAGACACACACACACGACTGTCCCTCCACACCGACAAAACACACGTTCCACTCCGGAAGGACACGCAAGGGAGTGGAGCCAGAGAACAGCAGCCGCATGGCCCCCTGTAGACGCCAGGTGCCAGCCGCAGACCTCCACGCGCAACTACGACAGAGACGTGACGGAATAGGGCGGGACGACGACGCACCTGCACACTTGACTCCCTGCGCGATGAGGCCCCACATGAAGTTGGCGCAGTATTCACACCAGTGGGGGCCCCGGAACGTGTGCACCTGAGGGAGGGGGGGAGAGCAGTCGGCAGACATCGCCGCGGCCACGACAACGCACGAGGGAGGGGGGGAGAGCAGTCGGCAAACATCGCCGCGGCCACGACAACGCACGAGGGAGGGGGGGGCAGCAGTCGTCAGACATCGCCGCGGCCGCGACAACGCACGTGGGGGGGGGGGGGGGTAAAGTCGCTCTTCTGTGGAGGGGACCGCAGAGAAGCTCTTCGTAACATTTACTCAAAACAAACTCGAGGTTTTAAAGCCCACTGAGCTATGTATCTCTCTCTCTCTCTCTTTAGGAAGCGAACTGGCCATCAAAAGTCATATTTTTGAAGCCCTTGGCAGAGAAGAGCTTGTTAGCTCAATGACCTCTACTCGGGGAAACAAACTTCTGACCCTGAAGAAGCGGTCACTACTGAGAAACAAAGAACCGCGTCTACATTCCGCTGGGCGAAAGCGAGGATGCAAACTATCCAGATAGTTGTCCTTGATTAAATAACAACGACGAGAACACCAAGAGTGCGTCTCGTACGACCGAGCCAACGACAGTCGGCCTCATCTTTGGCTCTTTTCCCGACGCGTGAATGCGCGATGCACGAGTTGGCGCTGTGCCTGTCAAGGAGACAGATCCAGCCCCCCCCCCTCTGCCACTCAGGGTAATTTGTCCAACAATAAGGGAGCGAAATTACTGCAGCATCATCATCATCACGTGTCGCCGTCATGAATCACGGTCGGCGCATCGGGAAATTCCCAGTTTCAGTTCGAGCAGCCCAAGCCCGCACCTCCGATGAGCACGGTAGGCTACGTACTGTGCGAAAGAAGTTCAACATACGTACATGCGTACATGGTTCTCGCACCACTGCATCTACCACGTGTGCAGTTCTGGGAGAACGTTACACGCAACACACGCTGGACAATGCCGTTGTTCTGCGAAGGGACTGGCCTCCACCATAAGAATGTGGAATTTCCAACAGTGGCTGAGAGCTTCTAAGAAAATATGAGCATTGCACGATGGTTATTTGAGCGTCTGGAGAGACTGAGGCTTGCAATTGGGTAAATAACATCGAATCTATGATTTTACACTTAAAAGGTTAACATTCTTCTCTGTACTACTTAGGTTATAAGGCTTGAAGGGTGGTGGTGCAAGCTTGTTTGCAAGTCGGCGTTTGTCGTGAAATGAAAGCATTTGAAGATGACAAAGTACGTGATAAAAAATTAACCCGTAAAAACAAAGTTTTTCACTATAAATCCTTAAAGGCGTGGCGGCTAGAGTCCTCTCGTCCTCTGGCTTGAGATGGCTGCCACCTATGGGTCAGATGATTGTCTGCCAGCATTAAGCAATTGGTAATTAAATATTTGAAAAAATTTCCCTAAACAGTGTAAAATTCACGAAAATTAATTGTCACGCACAACGAGTCTGTGTGGAAAATGTCAGCTCGATTGGATCACGGGAAGTGGGTTAAAAAACGACCGAAAGATTTGCACGGTCGTAAGCAAGCAAGCAAGCACACAAGCACGCAAGCAAGCAAGCGAACTTAATATAAAATAGCACGCATCTGCCAACAACGTGGGTTAAATTTTCGCGAATAAAAAAAACGTGAGAATCAAAAAGGAGACTGCCGCTCTCAACCGTCCGCTTCGGTGAATTGGGAACACGCTCTGCTCAGGCAAAGCGGAGACGCCGGGCGTTCCCTTTGTAAACAAACGAAACGCAGGGGTGGTGGAGGAAAAAAATCCGGGCAAGCACGCATCGATTCCTACGAATAGGCGATTACGCAATCGGATAAAGGAGACAAAGGGCACGCGGCTCCAGAGACGCCACCGAGGAGACAAACAGAAGCCTCGATTCATGCCTCCCGGTCACGTGTGAACGGCTCTGGGCAGGCTTGATATGAGCCCTCCGTTTGCTTGGCTGGGCGCATTCAGCTCATCTCCATACAGCTGCTCTTGCAGACCCATCTGCCCTCGAGCCTCTCATCCTCCCCCACCGCACACTCTCTTTGCCAGCCGCATCATCATCATCATCTCTGTATTGCAGTTCAAACGACTCATGTGTTCAACTATCAGTCGATTGTGCCGCAAGTTAGCGTCCTGAGTGTTCGTATTCTCAGCCGGCCTCCCTCGTGCGCCATCTCTGCCTACATCGTAAAACTCCTGGCCGCACTCTCTCTCTCCATCTCTCTCCCCCTCTCTCTCTCTCCATCTCTCTCCCTCTTTCCCCCTTCGCAAAACTCTTCACTCCCACCGTGCCCGTAGGTAGGAAGATGTAAAGCAGTGCCAGATGGCATCGTCTGAATTCCAAATGCCCGTGGAATTTTGACGAATGGACAGGAACGCGATGTCCTCAGCTCGTCGCTCGTTTCACCGCGGCTTCGTGTTGGAGCAGATGCTGCTTTAAGCATTTATTTAAGATCATAAACCTAAAATGTATTCCAAGGAGGCACACCGAGCTGGTAAGCGCCCGTTCCACATTATTAAAACAATAAAAAAAATTTTTTTACAAGGTCAGGCTCCACTGAGCTGTAACAGCTGTTTTTGAGAAGCTACCTGGGCCACAGATGATAGCTCAACTCAGTGGTTTAATCGCGCGGAAATTTCTAGCGGCCAAATTCTCTAAACGATGCTTGTATGAAAAATCTGGCAAAAAAAAGTATCTGTCCACAAGTAGTTTTAACATGTACTCGACTAAACACGCAATCAAATGCTTAAAATCATCACAAGCCGTGATTTATCCACTGCTGGATAAAAGGCCTTCGTACAAGTTGTTGCATCCCAGGATGGACAAATCCATCGGAACTCCTGCACGTGAGCTGATCTCATCATTCCATCTCCAGCGTGGTCATCCGATTGGCGTGTCCTCTCCTCCATCTCGCCAGTCTTCATCACTGGCCCTCATTCCTTGCAGCGGCGCATCCTGCCCAAGCCCACCTACTTTTCTTGATGGTCAATGCGATGTCTCTAACATGTACTTGCTCTCCGATCCAATCGCTCCCGTTCCCATCTCTGTGTTCGCTTTCACGACGCAACCGCTTCTTCTTCTTTCGCACCGTACGTAGCCAACCGTACTGCTCCATACAACACCGCGAGTGTACCCTGAAGAAAACGAAACTTCGCCAAATACGTGCGCCAAACTGAGACGAGCCAAGCGGGACGCGGTTGGCATCGGTGACGCGAGAACACACGGAGGAGGATTTCCAAAGTGGAAAGCTGATTATTATTGTTATTATAATCGAGCGTAATTATGGAGGATTAGTATTGGTAGTCTCTCCGGGAATCCAGCGTAGAGCAAACGTGCGGTGCTACGTGCGGTGCTACGTGCGGTGCTACGTGCGGTGCCCTGCATCGCGTGCGATAAGCAGGGGCCGGACGAGGCACAGAGGAGAGAGGCAGCTGAGAATGAGCCGCACGGGCCGAGCCGTGGTCACGGCCACAGAACAAACGCGGGAGGTGCTGCCCCCCCCACGCCACCCCACCCCCTCCACCCACCCACCCACCCACGCATGCACGCAGCCCGTGACATTGACCTAAACTAGAGCCTCGAACTCACAATGGGTTCTGGGAAGCAGGAAGCAGCGAAAGTGGGCCGGATGGAAGGCGACTGGCGTGACTCACATACAACCCCCCCACCGTGCCCCCCCCCCCCCCGACGGCTGCGCACCGTGCTTGCATCAAAACACACGAGCCCCCCCCCCTTCACGTGCCTGAGCGGCACTGGTCTCTTCGGTGACGAGAGCCCTGCCATTGGCCGGCTGGCTGGCTCGCTCGGAGCGAAAGGGTGATTTTGTACGAGGGTGACGGGTGCAAGTGGAGAATGTTTAATTTTAGCAATGCAAAGACCGCGTCTGCAAATTGAGAAGCCATGTGGCTGTGATTTTATAAGAACTGCATTTTTTTCCCTTAAACAACAGGGTGAAAGGAAATTTGTTCCAGCGGCAGACCGCTGCTGTTAATGTGGTAACGCGCGCGTGCGCGCACACGCACATGTGGTAGCGATTATTTTTTAAACATAAAAGCAGCTGAAAAATGCATAAAATAACGGCAAGAGACACGTGAAATTAAACATCAGAGTGTAACATTTACCGCAGCAATAGAATACGAACCATCGTGGACCGCCGACGGGATCCGCGGGCTAATGGGGAGGGCAGCTGTAGAGGCAGCTGCAGAAGTGGCGGCTCTCACCGTTATCTCGATCTGTCTGGGTCAGTGGCCCGGAGAATATTTCCGTTACCCGGCACACCACATCCCGTATAGCTCTTGCTATGGCTGCGGCCATTAGTCATAGGTGCCACGGTGGCGAGGTGTTAACTACCTCGCCTGGTATGCAGGAGGTTGTGGGTTCGATCCCAACCCTGACGCCTGCTGTATATTTGGAGTTTGCATGTTCTCCCCTCGTGGTCACGTGGATTTTTCTCCAGGCCCTGCGAATTTTTCCCTCCACATTTAGACACGTGCGTTTAGAGTATTTGGCTGCTATACATTTACACGTGATAAGCCACTTCGTTGAGCTATCATTTGTGCCCGGGTCGCTTTTGAAAAAGAGCTACATAGTTCAGTGGGCCTTACCTGGTTAAATAAAAAATAGTTTTAGTCATCGTTTAAGTTACGTACCACCTACTCCGGTCGACCGGAGACCAGGGAAAGTACCCAGCAAGAAATGAATTCCCATAGCAGAGCAGGAAGATGGCAGCGGTTTCTCGCAGAGCGTGGGAGGACTCGGGGGGGGCTGCCGGCACGAGCTGATGCCAGCTCCTTACCAACGAGCGCGGTAATGCTGGGGGCTGCGGCCTCGGTGGGAGAGGCGGTGGGCGGTTCTGATCACCCCGTACGCTAATCCTGTTCGTGGACTGAACGGACGGCTTGAGGAAGGGATCGCACTTTGAAGAGCGATACAAAGGCACGATGTCACATTTTTTTTTTTTTAATACTTATTTCCCTCATTAAAATGCAACTCAATTTATAACATTTTTGACATGCGTTTTTCTGGATTTTTTTGTTGTTATTCTGTCTCTCACTGTTCAAATAAACCTACCATTAAAATTATAGACTGATCATTTCTTTGTCAGAGGACAAACGTACAAAATCAGCAGGGGATCAAATACTTTTTTCCCTCACTGTACACACTCAGGGCTCAATTTCAGCCGCCTCTGTCCGGGTTTGGAGACCTGGAAAATATATCTGCGACCGGCACACCACATCCAGTATACCTCTCGGTATGCCCGTAGCTACTAGTCACGTGCCTACTCCAGTCTACCAGAGATCCAGAATATATCAAGTGAGAAATTAAGCCCTTCACACACACAGACACATTTAGAAAACCCAAATATTCCACATATCCCCTTGTGGGCTGTAGGAGCAAGTGCTGTCAGTGGAGAGAGGGATGACTAATTGTTTAAGGTCGCACGCAACACACGCACGCACACACGCACGCACACACGCACGCACGCACGCACACACGCACGCACACACGCAGAAACACACGCAGAAATGAGTTGGCCGGCGGAGGAACGGCGCGTTGGGTGCGAGCGTCTCCGAGTGTCTCCCTACCTTGAAGTTGTGCGCCTTCTCGTACTTGGCCGTGTGCTCGCCGTCCTTGAGGGTGGCGCGTCGCACCAGCGCCGACAGCTGCGAATAGGCCAACAGTTTCAGGGGCTGCCAGATGGAGGGGGCGGCTCCTCTCCGCTTGCCGCCGCCTCTGCCACCGCCGGCACCGGGGCGGCCGCCCAGCGCCGCCACCAGCAGCTCCTGCTGCGAGCCCGGCTCGCTGCGTGCGGCCGTGTGCCAGCAGCAACTCGCGGGCATCGACCGAGCACCGCCACCGTCGCCACTGCCGCCCGGGCCGAGCCGCCGTAACGGCATTGCCTCCCTAAGGCAACGCCGGCTCGCGGCGCCGGCTCGTCAACGCTTGGCCTGGCTCGCGACCTCCGACTCTGGCTCGTTAAATGTCGTCTCTGGCTCGCGAGTGAGACATCTTCGTTTCGCTTACAAAAGGCGATTAGGGCACGCACAGGTGGTCAGCCGGCCGGAGTGTCCAACGAGCCCATCCCACTTGGGTCCGAAGGTCCCTCCGCAAGCGCGACGAATAACCGACAGCAGCCTCTATTCTCCGCTAGAGGTTCAACGGCTTCGCGGAGCGGAGCGGCGGCACCGTTTCTGAAGCCGCGCGATTCTACGCGGATAAATTAATTTATTTCAGGCGCCAGCTTGCTCGCTCGCGCATCGCCCGGCACCGCTCTCCCCCCCCTCCGCCTGTGGCGTAGGAGGATGAGAGCGAGCGAGCAGTGATGCGCACCGCCCTGACGCGCCGATCGGACACCCCCCACCCCAAAGCACGCGCACGCACACAGAAGCGACGCTAAGAGACGTGGCTCAAGGGGCTTTGAGCAGCCAATTCCAATGGCGGAAAGTGAGCATGGGCTCGGAGCATGGGCAAAGTAGGGAAAAGGTGGTGGTCGTGAGCGAGCAGCGTGGGGTTAGCAGCACAGGCTGGGAACTACTGTGGCTTTTAAAGCGCATTTTGCGTTTTTTCTCACGGCGCAATGCGACGACGCAGGGCATCGCTTGTGTGACTCACGTTTCCCGATGAACAATTTCCTGTAAATCAAGAGGGGCTTTTTCCAAAAACATCGTGGAAATTTGCCAGAATAATAAACAAGTGGCCCAATTACAATTAAAACCACAAACACTAACTTTAGAAGCCGGGACATTGAAAAAAAATAAAAATTAACAAGTAATGCTCGGGTGTACTAGTTCAGCTGACTAACAGACGGTGAGCTGTTAGCACAAGCCACGGTTAATACTGTGTTTAGGATATGCAGAGGAAATGTTGGGTCTGACCTCTTTATCCAGCTCACTATTCTGCTCTCTGAAAGTGCAGCCAGTGCCTACACAAGCCCCCTTCTGCACCACTGCAAGAGCTGTTCACCGTCGACACGGCCAACTCAGTCGTGTAATCCCATCATGTTTCCACGCGTTCTTCGACAGAATAACAACCGCACCTTGTGCATTCAATACGTAACGTCTGTCAGTGGGAAATAAATAAATAATAAATGCTGCTACGCAGAGTGAGATCCTAAATGTTCAGTAATGTTTAATTGTCTTGCCAAGGTTCACATGGACGCCCCGGTAAATTTGAAAGTGCTTCTTGCCGTCTGACGAAGGGCAGCGAGTGTGTACATCTAGGCCAGAGTGATGCTCCCCCATCCTCAAGTGGCCCTCCAACCCCAGCCAACACGGCTTGCTGACAGGGCTCTGCTGCGAGCCTCACCATCACCACTGCTCACCACAGCGGAACACTGCTCCATTCTGTCCACTGGACGTGAAATGTAACCGTGCCGAAGGGGACACATTTACGTCAGGATCACGGTGTGAGATGAATGTTTAATTACGCTTCACCCGAGCCCATCTATGGAGTAATTTCCACTGCATCAGTTCAGGGCACCAGCCAACACGGGTGACCCAACAAACCATGCATTTCGATGTGGTGCAAAGAAAAACGACAGCATGATTTCAAACAGCGCAACTTTGTTTACGAACACACGTAGTGAATCTCTGCCCACGGCGGGTCGAATTAGTTAATGAACGACCTTGTGTTGATGAAACAAAGTCATGCTTATTTTTGTCTGATAGACGGCCCAAGCCCAGCGGAGCATCCGCCAGGGACTACGAGGAACGCAACGGTGTTGCAGACGCCAGCCTCGCAGCCCGCCCACGGCACTGCAGCGCACGAGACTCGATGCGGAGTTAACGCGTCATCAGCCGGGAACCCATCCGCCGCTGGACGAAGGCCAAGCCGTTTCCATCTCTCACAATCCTGCACACGAGCCAATTTCCATCGCTCCATCTCCACGGCGGGCGAATTCCTCGGGGGCGTGTTGCTTCCTTTGGCCGTCACTCCCGTTGTTAGTCTCAACCAGGACGCGTCGAGTGGGTCGAGCGACGCGTCCGGCCCGAGCCCACTTACTTCTCTCAACACAATCCAGATGATGTCTCTGACTTGCATACCGTCCCTAATCCACGTGTTTCTCTTTCTGTCTCTCAGTGCAATTCCAAGGATGCACCTCCCCGCGCTTCTTTGCCAATGTCCACGTTCTGCTGCTCCACGTGTCTGTAGCAGGTAACGTGAACCGATTAACAACCCGCCCATTCTTGTGGGTACATAAGGTGGGCGCGTGTGGGAGCTGAGCGAGCGTGGGCGCCAACTCAGCCACATGCCCCCACCTCCCCCCCCCCCACAACTGATCGTGCTGCAGAGAAATGTGCACTTTGCCGACCCACTATTTGAATGTTGGATTTTACCAATGCCCTGACATGATCAAATTATGCAGCCGCTGGGATCACAGCAGTCATCCGAAGCCGATTTGGACAGTTGTGCTTTTAGTGTAATCGGTTTGCGACATTTGCTCCTTGACTGCGTTCCAGCGTCAAAAAAAAACAAACAGAGCCACGCGACTGCCGTGACAGCGCTCACGATGGCCACGCTCCGCTCTCCGGCTCCTGCGGACGAACAGGCTAATTTTTTGTTCCTAAAAAATCGAAATACTCTACACATATATTTTAACATTCCCTCAAGCACGTGATAACGTTGAATAGGAATCCGGAATATTAGCTTGCCAATAGATATGTATGTAGGCCTGACAACGCTAGCTGTAATTACTGATAAAACGCTTACTCTCCAACACAACCGATGTGCTGAACTAGCAACTAATTGGTATTTTTTGTTTACGTGACAAATCTCACTAATTGGATGTGTCGGGTGGTTGCAGATTTAACGACATTTATATTTATGCGATGTAACTAAAAAAAACTCTCTTATGCATGTTGACCTTCTTTCGCACCGTATGTGTCAACCGCTAACACTGCGGCTCGCCACACAAGAGGTACAAAGACAAAGATCCCCCGTGTAGCCTGAACAAACTGTTGGGGCAAGTGCTGTTAGCGGGCACCTATGAAGGCCAGCACGGCACACAAGGGGGTGGGTGGCCAACACCACACCCGGCCGCCTTTGTCTCCCTAGTGGCGATGTTTACACATCGCACCAGATACTCATTTGAGGCTGAGTCGACCTAGGGGAGGCCCAGGACCGGTTCAAATAATCGTCACTGTTGTTGGCCGTGAGCTCAGGTGACCGGGTTTCGTAGCGCAGCGTAGCGCTAACCGCTGCGCTACCGCGCTATCGAGATACACGCGCACGCGCAGAGCAAACATCAATACGCGGTTAGTGCAGCCCCATGAATCAGAAATTAATGGCACGCACAAACACCACTTGTGTCCACTCGTTTCTCAAAGGTCATTTTTATCAAACCTTTCACTTGAGCTTGAGGAGGAGGTGCCCCGAGAGGCAAGTCGCCTTGCCTCTCGGGGCATTTGCCCCCCTCTGGGGGCATTTGCCCCCCTCTGGGCAAACCGGAGCCTCGTGTGCGTCACAGCCCATTTGTGCGGAATAATTGGACTCGGCCGAGATGGAGAGGGGTGGAGAGGCGGGGTGGGGAGGGGGGAGACACCAGGGGTGTGATTAATGGCCAACTGTGATGGGGAATTATACAGTCAGGGCTATTGTTTATGTTTGTAAGGGGGAGTGAATGTGGAAGAATGAAAGGAGGAACTTTGAATGGGATTCGGGTGCAGTAAATCCTGCGGCGGCAGGCTTTGGTAAATCAAGGACATCTGTGAGAAGTTCAAGTATCGCTGATTTGACCCACTCATTTATACCCCAACATAAACCCCAACGCGAGTACAACCCAAACACAACCATAACCAAGCCAACACCAGACCCTCACCCAAACCTAACCCCAATATACACCCCAACCCTAACCCAACCTCAACGCAACCCATAACGCAACAAAAACACAATCCCTCGCCAGCTCAATCATAAACATAGGTGTTTGAAAATATGAAATAACGTAAAAAAAATTGTTATTACCGCTAAAATTAACCACCGTCACATCATCACGTGCCAATGTTCAATGTCGTCACTGCCGCGGTGGGCCAATAATTGGTTGACGTTGCAATAACTGTGGTAGATTTAAAAATAGGATATCTCCAATCTCTGCTCCGGCGAAGCCAGACGATGACTCGTTGGGGTTTGTTTAGGGGGTCCCGTGGTTATGTTTACAGTGCCGGACATGACACAGGCAGCCCACGCAACTTTCAAGTTTAAGACATCAAGATGTGAAAAAAAAGCGCAGAGTAATTGCTGTGTTTGGATTATTCATCAGATGCGCGTAAACACTCCGTTAAATCTCCTGCGTTCAAGCATGGCGCCGTGGCTGTGCGCAAAGAACGTTGCCATTTGACCTTGTCTGCATGTGTGCGTTACATCGTCGGTGCGGGCGCGCGTGTGTGTAGTGTGGGGAGCGGTGGCATAGCGGTTAGCGCTACGCCGCACTCCGAACCCGGCTACTCGAGTTCGATTCCCACTCACGGCCAACACCAGTGACGATAATCTAAACCCGTCCCTGGGCCTCCCCTAGGTCGACTCAGCATCAAATGAGTACCTAGTGCCACTGGGGAGACAAAGGTGGTCGGGCGTGGTGCTGGCCACCCACCCCCTCGTGTACTGTGTCGGCCTTCATAGGTGCTCGCTAACAGCACTTGCCCTAAGTCTGTTAAAGGCTACCTTGGCTTCTGTAACATTGCGTGCGTTACCTTGAGCGTGTCACCTTGTCGTGGCGAGCATTACATTGCGGGCGATTGCCAACCTCCGTGCGTTACCATGTGTCCATCGCAAAACTGGCGAACGGTCGCGAGAACGCCACGGGGCAAATCATCGCGCGTGCGCATCTCCCACGTACGGACGTCGCTGGGTCGCTAAACAACGGCCGGTTGGAGCAGCGCACCCAGACCGGGCCCTCAAAAGCTCCGCGGCGACATCGCCGCAACTTTGCATTTGCCTCTGCTGTGCTTGGCACTACACATTCGTGCTTTTGGATTGTTTGTTGTTGTAGCGCTCTTACCCGCCCCTTACTGGACGCCCGGGAAAAATAGCCAATAAAAGCTCATCCAGTTTTTTCGGTAAAGTTCGCCTAATGAAGACCGCTTGTGTTGCGATCGAAACGTCATGGGTTTTTGCTTTCATTATGTTCAATTTATAATTTCAATTAAACATTTGTATTAAAATTTTATTATTTAAATTTTATTTATATTTTCTATCTACGCGACTTTACCGAAAGAACCAAGAATATGAATTCCTCCAGTCACGAAAGTTTCAGGTCAAAATTCTGATTCTGACTTAGCGGCCGCCGCCGCCACCGCCGCCGCCGCCGCCGCCGCCACCACCACCGCCACCACCGCCACCACCACCGTCGCCGTTGTTACCTTGTCGCCGGGCGAGCTCAGCTCGTTGTCCGCGGGCGCGGACGGCGTGACCGCGCGGACGTCCCGAGCGGCGCCCGAGCGCGCGGCGCGCCAGTTCCCGCTCCCGCCGCCGCCGCCACCAGCCGCCTCCCGCGGGCCCCGCCGAGCCGGCGGTGGTGTAGCCCACGTGCTCGTAGATGGGGTTGATGGTCATGCGCGCGATGTACTCGGCTGCCTTGGTCTCCACGTAGAGGGTGATGAAGCCGTCCGTGACCAGGTCGTGGATCGACTCGAAGCGCTTCTCGCCCACAAAGTGCTTTCCGTCGTAGAAGAGGCGGAAGTTGCGCGTCTGGTTCCCGAACCTGCGGCGCCCATAGAAGTCATCGATTAAAGCGATGGTAACGGTCGCGCTCGCTCGCAATTTAACGGAGAGTTGAGCGGCTCGGTTCGTTTAGTTTTTGTTTTAGTTTGCGGTCCCTTCACCCCGCACTGTTGGTTACGTATGGTGTGAAAGAAGTTCAACATACATGCACACAAACATACATACAGAGTTAAGCAGTGTACTTGGCCTGGCACGAGCTTAGTGGTGACGGACAGCCAAGCCGTGTCCCTTTCGCTATGGTTTCTGTCTCTAAATTCAGGGTAACCCTTTGGCTGGATTTCAATTTTGATAGACCCCCTAAAAACAACACAACTCACAATGCAAGTAGTAATTCACACTGGGTAACCGTTACGCGAATTAGCAGTAATTTAAAAAGAATTTGGCGTCATATTTCGTGACAATAAATATGCCCAACATTCTCGGCGGCCATGAAATTGGGATCACGAAAGTCAAAAGGAAACACGGTGATTTTAAAAGTACCTGTATTTAAACGTACGCAATCATCTCTAATGTCTGCACATGAAAGGAATCGCAGGCTAGACATAAACAGCAGCTTCTGACTCCCATTTTCTGTTGAAGGGGCCTCACGGATTTTGCCCAACGCTACCGTTTCAGGAAACCCACGATTGCAGCGAGCATTCAAACCCACCTCCTCCCCCCCCCCCCCCCGCCGTTTTAAGAAAATGGAGTTAATCTGATGCTGTGCTACATGTGGAGGCAATTGTTGAGCCCCTCGCGCCATTCCATCACTTGGCCAGAAAACTCGGCGGGCACGGTGATCAAAGCAACGCCGTGCAGCTTATGCGCAGTGAAATTAGGCGTAATGTTAGAAGCTGCCGCTCGTATAAGTGCCGTCTTGATTAAATGGCGGAAACGCGGCGGCTTTCAGTTGTTTTTTAAGTCGGTTCAATTCCAAGCTGTGACGCGTCGAACGCAACGGACGGGCTTGCGGTTCAAAACGCGGGCGGCCGCGGGGTCTGGTTGCGAGCGCAATGCGCTTGTGGGATCAACGCGGCTTCCAGCTCGGCGAGACGCATCACCGCACCTTTGCTTAGTGGCGTTTGACGGCGACGGCCAGCGGCTCTCGGGCAGCGGTCTACGAGCGCGAGGCCCTCTCTTAGAACACCTCTGGGATGTCTCCTTTCTGCTGCCGCTCTCAAAGAACACCGGAGGATGAATTTTGAGCGTGTTGAAGAATTCTCAACTGCTCCTTCGCGATGAAGTCGTGGACGCGTATCGCCTCTCTGTGGCACCGTGATCAGCGGGTGAGGCCAATCCGCGTAGTGGTGAATAGGACTGGAGATCTTCTTGGTTCTTTCGGTAAAGTCACGTAGAATGGAAATAATAAAAATAATAAAATAAAACATTATAAAATAATTCTCACGACGTTTCGGCCACAACGCAAGCACCTGAGGACGGCTGCTTGCGTTGTGGCCGAAGCGTCGTGAGAATTATTTTATTATGCTTTATTTTATTATTTTATTATTTCCATTCTACGTGACTTTACCGAAAGAACCAAGAGGATGAATTCCCTGCAGTCACGAAAGCTTTAAATCGAAAAATAGGACTGGAGATGCCAATAATATTCAGTGTAAAAATAAACACCTGACTCATCATTGATCACCAGCAGTATCAGCATCAGCAGCATTCCCGCATTGTGCAATCAACGCCACGCTCGTCTCGGCGCCGCACGCAATAAACACGCGCGGCACCTTTGCTCGCGCTCTCGTATCTCCCGTGACACCTGTGTAAGCAGGGGAGAGCGATTACATCGCTCCTGGGTTTTTCTCACTAACCAGCCCATGGAAGCCAGGCATGACTAAAAATAGCTCACGTACCTTTGATGTAAAGCTCGGGCACTCCGAATGCTATGGCGGTCATATATATACAATACAAGAAAAAACTCCCTGCACTTAGCAGGCACGGCCCACTCAGACGTGTCGCCGTCTACCGGAGCGACCACAAATCCGCTCGCCAGCACAAAAAAAAAGGTCACGTAAAAGCCAGGTCCTCGAATTGAACCGCAAAAGCTATCATCTGCCGCCCCCCCTACTGCCGCACTACTATGCACAAGGCTGCCCTAATCTCCACAATGCGTCTTCAAAAGCGCTCGTGGATCGTGGCTTGTTAAAACTACCCAGGGCAGATATCGATCTCGTGCCCAGCCAAGCTGCCGAGAGCAATGGGGGTGGTATGAAGCAGCTCGAGCGTATTTTACCAGGTGCTGAGGCCTTCTCCCCCCCCCCCTCCCTGCCTGGGATGAAACATTCCCACGCTGCTACCCTGCTCAATAACCCCGTTCGCCTGGCCCTCGAGCGGGTCCCCTTACAAAGCCACGAAATCGCTTGGCGGCGTCTCGCGGACCGCCGTCCGCGGCGGGCGAACGTGACGCGCGAGCGGCCGGTGTTGGGCGCACAACGAGAGAACGCCCCCTCGCGCGATGCAATCCCCGGGGCCTGCGCGCCGCGCGGATAGAGAAAGACAACGGGGCACAGTGGACGCAACCCCAGTTCGTCTCAGCGGCTGCCAGCATTTTGGCCACGGGGCCACGAATGCACCTGACCTCATCAGGTCGTGGACGCGAGCGGCGAGCGCGTCACCGCCCGGCGGCGAGGGGCTCCGCGCGCACGGCCGCTGTCTCCCGTCGCCATCCAAGAGAGCGGGGTCATTTTCTGCACGGGCCAAGTCCCATTGCGAACACAACTGTTGAACTGTGTGGGTCCGCGCATAATTGCACGTGCCGTCATCAGTCAGAAACATCCGATCAATTTCACGCCTTCAGCTCAGGCAACTGAATTTGCCCTTGGACGGCGAGGACAGGAACGGCAATTTAAATGCACAGTGTCGCCTGTCACGGGCCATTAGGGCGCATTACCGTATATGCATTGTGTATATAAACTGTACGCATTCTGTACACAAACTATAAGCGCGCGTCTGCTCACGCCTCAGTCCTGGGGGGGGCTCGCAATCGGCCGTGGCCTCGGCTTAAGAGGCCGTTGCCCAGCGCACGCAGTCGAATCGTCAGCACGAACCCAAGCACAACCGCATCGTGCAGCGCCGAGGCTTCGGAGAGCATCGCCAACAGCGGTTTACGAATCTGACTTGTATTCCGCGCACGCGCTTAACGGTTGAAGAAAACTTCCGATGTGGTTGCTTGAGTGCGAGTCACTGCCGCTCGCGCGCCGACTGCGTTGCAAGCTTGACGATACCGTTACAGGCACTCCGGCAACGAAGGCCTTCTGCGGGCGGAAAAAAAACACCACGGGATATGCGCGCAACGGGAGGACGCTAATTCCCCTCTGCTGCCCCCACAATCGGGAACTCCCTGTCCCTGTTTAAGTCAAGGCTCAAGATTTTCCTTCCCCCCCCCCCCCACTACCGATGACCTACTCCGTCAACGTACAAAAAAGCACGCGCTCACTGTTTCCGCACAGCATCTTGCCGCCGATATGAATCCAGACCCAATTGCGCTCCGTCGTACAGTAATTACCATTGCCTCTGTGAGCAGTCCAGCTGCCTCTCGTCGTTATTAAGAACAACGGAGATGCCAGCGGCTTCTTGGCCGAGGACCCTTGGGAGAGGCGTGAGAGCAGCTCGAGACAAAGATGCGTCGACAGCCGGGAATAATAACCAAATACACGGCCGGCGCATGACGGGATAAACGACACACTGCAGATCGTGGGACCCTGACAACATCCGTACTCTTTCGAGTGAAAGCTTCTTTCGTGACTGCAGGGATTCATCTTCTTGGTTCTTGCGGTAAAGTCACGTAGAAGGGAAATAATAAAATAATAAAAATAAAACAGAATTAAATAATTCTCACGACGTTTCGGCCACAACGCAAGCAGCCGTCCTCAGGTGAAGAACAGGTCTGTCGGAAAGACGCTGTCTTTCCGCTGTCGAAACGTCGTGAGAATTATTTTATCATGTTTTATTATTTATTATTTTATTATTTCCCTTCTACGCGACTTTACCGAAAGAATCAAGAAGATGAATCCGTACTCTTATCAGGAAATCCGTGATAACAGATGCAATAAGAGCTCAAGATTGTCCAACAATTGGGTTTCAAAGAGGCTTTCATGCAGATACGCAACAACAAAAAAGGACTTGCGCTTATCAAGGCTCTTTTGGACTGGAAATCTTGACGATGACACGAAGCGTAATGCGCGAGAGAGGCCGGCTATTCCCAGACTCTGCTGGCAAGTGTTTGCGCTCCTTGCCGTTAATACTTAATGCCACTAAAGAGGATTTCTGGTCCCAGTCCAAGTCCTCGCTGGAGATGAGAGCTGTTCTGCGGATTAAGGGGTCCGTTAAGCTAGAAATTGTACGTCTGCCTGTTCCTGCCATTCCATTCAAGCCCCTGCATCCCGGGCACGCGGCACGTGCAGTGGTGCCCTTCACTTATTAATTAATTCACTCAAGAGCGAGCACGCACGTGTTTATCCGCGATTGCCCGTCACGTGACTTCAATTTGCGGGAGGCACCTGGTTGACAGGGAAGTGTTTGGCGCTGCGAGAAACTCCCCTCGGCCGCGTCTAGGGTTTTACCTATCATCATCGTCGTTATCGTCGTCGTCGTCGACGATATGATGATGATGATGGAATTAAGGCCTCATCAAGCGGTCGCATCCCTCATGGCCCCGTGTTGCCAAAATATCACCCAACAACTGCACACTAGCTAATCTCGTCGCTCCATCTCCTCGGTTGACGTACTCTCGCATGCATTACCTCCCCTTGCCTGCCGCTCCGTTGTTCTTCTCGCTCACCGTCCATTGTCAACGCTAACGACGCATCCTAAACCAGGCCCGCGAAGTTTCTATTAAGAGTCTAAATGAGGCCTTTAACTTGAGAATAGGTTTCCCCTTTTTTCTTACAACAAAACAGGTGTTAAGACGTTAAAACACCAAACTGAAACATTTTACAAGGAATCATGTCTGCATTAACCACCATACCTGCCAACCAAAATCACTCTGATAATATATGCATTGTCTGTGAAACTGATTGGTCCATACCAGAGACAGCTTTGTTTGGAGCCTAGTCTTAAAAGGTGTTAGACGTCCTCTGGTCTAACACCTTTTGAGACGAGGCTCAAAAGAAAGCTGTCTCTGGTGTGGACCAATCAGTGTCAATGACAATGCATATATGATCAGAGTATGATGTTTGTTTGCATTCTGACCACAAGTATTGCGGTTAACGCAGACATGATTCCTTGTAAAAGGTTTCAGTTTGGTGTTTTAACATCTTAACAACCTGTTTTGTTACCAGAAAAAAGAGGGAAAACCTATTCTCTTATTTTGGTACGGGCAAAGGAGGTCCCATGAGGCCTTTAACTTGCGTATAGTCTCTTATCGTTGCATTCCTCTTTCTGGCTCTCGGTGTAATTCCAAGGTTACACCTCTCCACTCACAGGGAAGGGCAAAACTTCTGCAACAGCTGGACATAGCAGGATTCTGGGCACGCCTTTCGCTTGTCCTCTGACCAGAACGGAGCATGGCACAAACTGATGGGGCTGATGGGGAGAGAAGCCATTGGTAAATACACTTTGTGTTGAACTCTCATTTGCAAGAACCATGCATGAACAAATGCATGTTTTCTTCAACACGTTAAAAGCGTTCCTCGGATCTACGGAGTGAGGCAGCTATAAAAACTTGGTTAAAAGTATCATTTTTTTCTCACCATTTCATTTGTGGGCGTGCTACTAAATAACGTAATTGCAGCGAGTGATCGTTTGCCATTAGCAGCACTGGGCTATAAATCGGGACGCACACGCACGTCCGTCTGGCTTCCTGTCGAGGTTTCTCGTTGGGTGCTCGGCACATGGACGCACTGCACGAGCTTCGGTCGACAGGAGAACCGAATTCATTGTTGAGAGACACATCCCCCCCCCCCCCCCCCCGAATGAAGAGTGCTAATGATGGCAGCCTTTTGCACATACAAAGACTAAGATAACCCCTCATAGCGTTCATAGACTTTCGGGACGAGTGCTGTTAGTGATCACTTGTGAAGGCCAGCACAGTGCAAGAGGAGGTGGGTGGCCAGCACCACGCCCGGCTGCCTTTGTCCCCCCAGTGACGTTGTTTACACACTGCACCAGGTACTAATTTGAGGCAGAGTCAATCTACACACCAAGATAAAGATCTCCAGTATAGCCTGTAACAGACTGTTGGGTCAAGTGCTTGAGCGAGCACCTATGAAGGCCGGCATGGTACACGAGAGAGTGGGTGGCCAGCACCCCGCCCGGCCGCCTTTGTCTCCCCGGTGGTGATGATTTTTACACACTGCACAGGTACTCATTTGAGGCTGAGTCGACCTAGGGGAGTCACAGGACCGGTTCAGATAGTCGTCACCGGTGTTGGCCACGAGCGGGAATCGAACTCGGGTCGCCGGGTTCGTAGCGCAGCGTGCTAACCGCTGCACCACCGCTCCTCACACGTGCACACAGAGACAAAGATCTCCCCCCACACTCCCCCCATAGTCGTACCAAGACTTTCGGGTAAAGTACTGTAAGCGAGCAAACACACACACACAAACAAACGCATACACACTGTAGACATAGACACAGACACAAAGTTAAAGGTCCCTTAATAGCTTACGCAGGCTATTGGAGGAAGTGATGTGCGAGGGGATAGTGGGGCCAGCATGATTCCTGGCCACCTTTGTGTCCCAAGTGCTAATGTTTCACACGTAAGAGCAGAAAATCACTTGAGGCTGAGTCAACCTAGGGGAGGCCCAGGACTGGTCCAGACGTCACGAGCAACAATGTTCACCATGGTCGGGAAATCCGCAGACGCCAAACAAACATTCAATAAAACACACGCGTGCACACGTACACATGCACGCACACGCGTGTACACTTACGCATGCACACGCACACGCGTGTACACTTACGCATGCACACGCACACTCACACCGGGTCTTCTGTTGCGGTGACAAGTGTGAACAGCACACAATGATTTAGGCTTGCTCCCACTGTCAATTACCATAATTAAATGCCATGCAAAGCATCAATCTCCGAGATCTAACACGATTACAACGTGGACCACATTACTCCCAGGGAAGGGCTGTGATTCTTGTAAATATGATAGAAATACCTCCTCGGGGGTCTCATAAGACACTCTGTCAAGGTATTCAAATTTCACAAGTCACCGGAATGTACCGTGCATGCATACAGAACAGGGGCGCCGCGGCGGCGAGATGTTAACCCCCTTCGCTTGGTACACAGGAGGTCGTGTGATCGATCCTGACCCTGACGCCTGTTGTATATTTCGAGTTTGCGTGTTCTCCCCGTGGTCGTGTGGATTTTTTTTTCTCCGGGTCCTCTGGTTTTTACCACCAGTTTAGTTTTAAGAGGTGGGGGGGGGGGGGGGGGTGTTGGTGGGGGGGGTATGGCGCCCATGTGGGGCGCGAGCCTCTCACCGCAGCGCCAGCGTGTAGGTGCCCGGCTGACGCTGGCTCTCCCGGATCAGGTAACTCCCCTCGAGCCCTCCGAGGAGCTTGTCTGTGTCTTCTCGCGAGACCATCCCGTGGAACCTTGGGGCAAGGCAAGCGGTGCAGGCACCCAGATTACACGTGCAGGGGACAGCGAGCGTGAGAGAGAGAGGGAGAGAAAATAAACGACGTGACAATTTCGTTACAGTTTTTTTTTACCACACTCGTATAAACGTCGCGCATTTTGTCTTGAGAAAATGACCTCTGTCTGTCAGAGAGCCGAGGGTCAGATTCCTGAGATGAAGTCATTATTTGGGTTCTGCTTGCTTCGGTGGAGCATAAAACCAACGGCGACGCATTTTGCACAACATCGGGCGAGGCAAAGGCCCCGCTGCAATGGAGACGGATTTTATGCAGAAGCAGCGAAGCTATTTGAACCGTTAAATCAATCACATTTTAAATGCATTTCCAGGACTCGTGCGATGCTCTCTGAACTCCACGGTGTGCTACCGATGGCGATGTGCTACCTTTTATCTTGTTCCCCCTTGGCTTTTGTTTATACCTTATCCGTGCATGTAAGGATTCGACGACGCAACGATCTGTTTAAAATACATTTGTGCGTGCGACACTTTGCACGTGTGAGACTACATTTATGTGAAATTATATTACCTTGAAAAATTCCGTAATGGCACGGAACAAATGAGACCAAACAGACAACTCCAAATATACGGCGGGCATCTCAGGGTCGGGATCGAACTCGCAACCTCCTGTACACCAGGCGAGGTAGTTAACATCTCGCCACCGTGGCTCCTGTGCGGGTGAAACGCGAATGGCAACTCACTCTCGGCCGTAGTGCTTGGGGCGATTGGGGACCTGGGAGGAGACAGAGAGCACAATCCCAGTGATTAAAGACAGGACACAGCAATTTGCACCTCAAATGAGAAATGAAGCAATCAAGCCCAGGGAGAAGGAGGAGGGGGGCGACAGGCAACGTTCCGTATAACGCAGCCGTCACTCCGCTCGGATGCAAAATATGATGGGCCGCTCGGAATTCCGAGGGAAATTAATTACACTCTTTGCAGTGGCTTCAATCGCTCACTCCGATTGAAAATGTAACATAAATAGGACAAGTAATGGAGCGGCGAGAGAGCACGGGGTCACGAGTGACGAGCGTGACACCGCGCTAACCAGCGGGGGATCTGCGCTAGCTGCACTCGCTACACAGCCTGCACATGCTACACTCACTGCCAACGCTTCACACGCTACACTCACTGCCAACGCTGCACACGCTACACTCACTGCGAACGCTGCACACGCTACACTCACCGCCAACGCTGCACACGCTACACTCACTGCGAATGCTGCACACGCTACACTCACTGCGAACGCTTCACAAGCTACACTCACCGCCAACGCTGCACACGCTACACTCACCGCGAACGCTGCACACGCTACACTCACTGCGAACGCTGCACACGCTACACTCACTGTGAACACTTCACATGCTACACTCACTGCGAACGCTTCACACGCTACACTCACTGCCAACGTTTCACACACGATACTCACTGCGAACGCTGCACATGCTGCACTCACTGCGAACGCTTCACTCGCTACCAACGCTTCATACACTACACTCACTGCCAACGCTTCACACGCTACATACACTGCGAACGCTGCACATTCTGCACTTGATATGCACACTACGAATACTGCAAACGCTGCATGTGCTGCACTCGCTGCATGCACACGCTGTATACACTGCGAACGCTGCACTCGCTGCACACGGGAACATTCGGCGCTCACGCGAGTACAGACCCGGCAGCTGCGGAAACAAGCAGAGCAAGGTACAGCGGCCTAGATTTGACTAAACAAGACTCTGCAGTATGGAGGTCGTGGCCCTCATCGGTCTTGAATATGACAGTCGTGACGGGTCTACGCACGAGGAGGGGTGGGAGTGGGTCGCGAAGGGAAAAGGTTGTAAACGATACAGAATACATTCCAGTGGCGTTGATTTTTTTTTCCGTCCAAGAATAATTGTCCACAGATAACCGTGCATAAATGCATAGAATGGTTATATGTATGCACTGTATGTACGCTGAACTTCTTTCGCACCGTACGTGACCAACCGTGCTAATCGGAGGTGCGGGGGGAAGGACAACAAACTAAACACGAAAAGCAGTTCTCACGAAATTAGTTTTCCATTTCGATTTAAAAGTGCATAGCTCCCAGCGGCTTCCTAATATCAGAAGGAAGAGCGTTCCAGATGGCCGCAGAAGCGCATCTGAAAGCGATGGGTAGATCTTCTTTTCGTACGACTGACCCAAACACTGTCCACTGAAGAGGAAAGCCCTCGTCCTGCAGTGGACCGAGAAAGGGTCATAAATGCGCACGTCCAGAAGCACCTGATGATGAAAGACGACGCCGGCAGCACTGTGGGTAAAATAGGTCATGCAAAGACAGGGACATTGACACTGGGTCTGTCTGGGTAGCTCAAGGGGTTGATGCTATAATTGTGCCAGATTTGTGCAGGCATCTCTGAAACCCTGGGCTCCAAAGCCCGACTCAAACTTAAGCACTGAGAGAGACATATTAAACATGCGCTTTGTAGAGTGATCTCGCCAATAACGTCAGAAAACGCGGCAGCATTTGCCGAACAGGCCTGCCTCTGCTGATGAGCTGCAGAAAATCAAGGTGGATTCTGAGTTCGCTTGCTTCCAAAAAATTTTATCCATGGCAACGACAAAAGGGGACACCTCGCTTCAGGTTGCTGCTGGATTGACGACGCTCCCAGATGGAAGCAGCAAGCCACGCGCTAACGCTCAACGCGACAGGACGAACTGTTCCCCCACACCCGCATGCACTCGGGGATTGTGACGGCCCGGAACATGGGCAACATCCATTATGGTTTCGTGTTGCGGATCAGTTTGACAATGTCAGACAGCCTCACGCTATTTCTTCCGGTACGATGACAAGCGAGGCGAATTCTGTTCACAATTCCACCCGGGCGATTTTTTGTGGATTTTATTTAGATTTTTTTTTTGCTTTGCACCCGCGCATCGCTGCCTCTGATGCGCCAGGAGTCTCGCCTGTGTGTACACGATTAATTTCCGTGGCGGGTCGTGCCCAGGGGCGAATTGTAAGCTCGGTTGCGAACGGACAGAGAGGGCAGGGCCTGCTCTCAGGGACGATGTGTCCACGAAGGCAGCAGCCAACGTCGTTAAATCTATAAAAATATAAACATATTTGACCAGGTAAGGCCCACTGAGCGATATAGCTCTTTTTTTAGAAGCGACCTGGCCACAAATGATAGCTCAATGAAGTGCAAATTTATAGTAGCTAAATACTCTAAACGCTTTTTCATTCCCAATGTGGAGGGAGGTCCCGGAGGAAAAATCCACGCGACCACGGGGAAAGAGACACCGCAAACTTCAAATATACAGCAGCAGGCGTCAGGGTCGGGATCGAACGCACGACCTCCTGTATACTCCACCGTGTCTTATCTCGCAGCTCGTGCCCGCTCGCTTATCGAATAAAAACCGACGTGAGCACAGCCAATTCCATTACACCCCCGGGGGGAGGGCAGCTGAGAGCGCACGCGGGGGGACGGTCGCGGGGACTCCGCCCCCGAGCTCCGCGCAGGGGCCATGGCAGGCGGCAAAGTGTAAAGAAGTCGCCGGCGCGTGGCGATGGCAGTCGCCGTTCGCAGCCCTGCTTCCACCGACGCCACCACGCTCGCCGCCGATGAAGTCTCACGCGACAACGTGGTGACCATACCGCCAGTCTGCACACCTCCGATGAGCACGGCTGGCTACGTGCGGCGCGAGAGAAGTTCAACGGACACATAGGTACGTACATACGTGCTCAATTAACTTTACCCAGTGTACAATCGGAACCATTAATTTGCAGCTTTGCAGAGAGCTTCTGCATTCACATGTCTGGCCAACTCATCAACGAGTCTTGCAAATTAGGCGTAATCATGTATACTCAAATGCTCACAATAATCTCGAGGCTAAGACCCGAAGGAAGCCTACACAGTTTTGTTTTTTGCTTTTAACGAAGTGCAATGCTGAGTGTGAATGTGGCACGGGAAGGGGTAAAAAAACCAGATTCGTCAAGTTTTAATTAGTGAAACAAACCCACTCTATGATGCCTTAAAAGTAGCTAAAAAGAGCTCCAGAATTTCAGCTGGGTTAGAAGATCTTCAGTCAGCGAGGCTCATCCTTTTGTGTGTTAAACAATTATTTTCATGATCATCCCATGAATGAGGAACCGGTTGCTGCACGATTTGTTTTTTTCTTATCACGGCCGAGCACAATTAGGGCATAATATGTTTGGGCCACATTGCCCTGGATAGCCCTCAAGGTTTTATAAACCATGACGTACCTAATTCGTCTAATTATGGAGCCGGCAATTTGTTGGAGAGCGATTACGTTTGAATTGCTCTCTGGGCTGTGCGGTGCAAGCCCCCTTGGGGGAGGTGGGGGGGGGGGGCATCAAGGCAGCGCGTGCGGTGACGCGCATCGGGCACCACGCTGGCGACGGCCTCGCACCCATCTCACAGCTCCAACTCGTCTCCGCCTAGCCGCGAGGATTTCATCCCCCGCACCTCCGATTAGTGCGGCTGGCTACATACGGTGCAAAATAGTCCACGAGAGAATTTTGGGTGAGATCGCGAAGAAATATAAGTGTGCCGTTAAACCCGCCACCACCCGACCACAGCCAATTAGTAAGGTTTGTCACGCAAAACAGAACATGCCAATTTGTTACTAGTACAGCACACCGGTGTGTTGGAGAGTAAACCCAAAAGATTTACAATTCGAGTCCGACGTTTCACCAGTAATTACAACCAGCATCATCAGGCGGACAGCCAGAGTTGTGGGTTTACTCTCCAACACACCGGTGTGCTGAACTAGCAGCACATTGGCACGTTCTGTTTACGTGACAAACCTTACTAACTGGCTGTGTAGGACGGTGGCGGGTTTAACGACGCATTTATATTCACGCGATCTAACCCCAAAACACCTCCGTTGTGAAAAACATTGGTTGCGAAAGTCTACGTGTGAAACGGTGCGAAATAAGTTCAACATCCACGTGCCACAACTTACAAAGAGCAGCAAGCGGCTATTATAGCGAAGCAGCCGGCATGAGGCAACACGAGGCCCTCAAACTCACGGCTCTCGCTGCCCCAGTGGTCGTACGCAGAGGACCGCGTCGGGAGACCGGTGGATTGCCTCGTGCGAGGTGCACACGCCAAACGGAGGGCGCACGAGCGAGACGCTCCACGCGGAATCCGGTTCCAGTGACAATCAGCTGACCGCTCACCCAGCTAACCTTGCTAGGGGCACTCATTTCCCTTAATCCGTAATCCTTACCCCCCACCCCGCCCCCCACATACACAGAACTAATATTTCTCTGCTCTACACTTGTAAAGCGCTTCTCCCCAATTGTGGTTTGAAAACAAAATCGGATTGACGGCTTGAGCAATATCAATGGAGTGCTTTTTTGAGTTTGATCTCTTTCTTATTGCATCGAACAATTGGCTTAACTTTCATGCTGCATTAATATTTGCTTCGTTTTTCGACCCGCCCTTCATATGTACGGTGCGACAATTGTGAACCGAGTCACCATTAAAGAGAGACTTCTTAGGTCTCGCACGGCTATCAAGTGACTTTAAATAAACGTCTGACTGATAGGAAGCAGGTTCATTCGTGTCCAGGGTTTGATCGGACAGATTCGCCATATCACAGCAGACTGTGCCATGTCAACGGTCACGCGCTCGGACCTCCATCAACATGATGAAGCGGCGCGTCTTCATTCAGACCCGACTTGCATCGGAAGACGCACGCGCGTGCAATGTATCGACTGTTAAGACGAGTAAGCGGCTTTGGGCAGGTCACATGGCGAGATGGTCAAAGGCCAAGGACTGTGACGGAATGCCAGCCAAAGGCGAGAACATGCCCAACGTATGCATTTACTGTGAACTTCTTTTGCACCGTACGTAGCCAACTGTGCTACTCGGTGGTGCGGGGGGGAAGGGAAGGACAACAAACTAAACACAAAAAGAAATTATAAAGAATTAGATTTCAATCGAGATTTAGAATTGCATAGCGCCAGTGGCGTCCTAATATCCGATAGAAGAGCGTTCCAGACGGCCGCAGAAGCACATCTGAAAGCCAGCGATGCTGCGACTGTCTTTATTCGATGGCTAGCCAAAAAGCCACTGTGAGGATTACCGGAGTTTGTGTCGTGGTTTATGCTCCTTGACGAGATGAGCAAGGTATCACGGTTCATTTGCGGCAAGCAATTTGTGTGTAATGAGTGCGACGTTATAATCATTTATTCATTCGGCAAAAAGTATACGTCTACCATGGAGATGGAGCAATGAGATTACTTCACGCTCAGGAGTGACGTAGATTGTGGCATCACGTGACCATGACGGATGGTGGCGGTCGAGCCTCCACAGAGCAGTGGATAGACAACGACTGTCGGTGATGATGCTCGTAATAAATTATAAGGAATGTACGAGCAGAACACACGCCAAAGTAATCTCACCTCCTGTGTGCACGTGATCCTTTTGGGGTGAGGAGCCTCTTGCTGCAACTGGTACACTGCACACACGACACGACACAACGCACCGTGGCACCGCGCGTCACACCACACGATACAGCACACAAACGGCCTCCGATTGGCACGGTTGGCTACGTACGGAGCGAAAGAAGTTCATCGTCCGTGCGACGCGACCGCGCGTCACGCCACACAAGACGGCACGCACCACGGCATCGTGACAGCGGGAGAGCGGAAGTGATTAAAGCACGCGAGCATAATTGGCAAAATGCATCTGTGGCGTGAAAGTTAAAGGAGAGTAAAATTTTATTGCCCCGTTTATAAAGCCCCTGTGCATGTGAGCGTTCCACTCCAGACAGACATAAAACGGAAGAATTACAGTTTATGCTGTTCCGCCGCTAAATTAATTCATGTAACGCGATAATTTTTGTAATGATGCCCTGTAGAATAGATGTTTTGTGTTCCAGTGACAATCTTAACTCTTTTTGGAACGTAAATTCAGCTTTGTCTTTTATTTTGTTGTCGTTTGTATTTATGATTTGCACTCTCTGGCCACGCTGCTCTTAAGATTTTGAAAACCGCGTTTCATTAATTGAAACGTGAAGCCGAGCACTTACAACTCACGCACACCGCGGATATTAAATAAGCGCGACGCTCATTATTTGGTGGGGATAAAAAAAAGCATTCCATAGAGAATTACGAAGGATTTTTAATTAGCTGCTCAGAAGCCCGGGGAAATTTACGAAAGTCTACCATAAATAACGAACAAACAATCGCACGACAAAGTGAGCCCACGCGGACGTTCTGCGAACTTTCCCTGTAAGCGTGTGAAATATTTTCTTGCAATGTTTTCAAAGATTAAAAGATTAACTATGAAGTGTGTGTTTGGGTCACGTGGAATTCCGTGTGCAGGATCATTTCCGCACCCGCGAGTCGCGCTCAAACTTTAATCCACTCAGAGTTGTGCGCGTTATGATTCGTGTGATTATTATCATCATCTTCATCATTCATCGTAACCCAATAATTGTGGAACGTCATCGCTGCTTCATTGGCTGTGAGATTTGGTCGTTGTGTTCAGCGGTTGTGTGTTGATACTCGGTGTCAGCGGGCAGTGAGCAACGCTCACAACAACGTGCAGAGGCGACGGGCGGCTAAAGCACAGCAAATTGGCACAACATGGGGGGACACGGGTGGTGCATCTGCCAATCATCTCAGTCCTCCAACCCATGGCACCTGGGTCTGTCCCATGACCTCCTGCCAGCGAGCATTCGACACTTCACGTGGCCTCAAAATGCACATAGCCTGGCACAAGCGCCGTGGCGACATCACCGCCACTGAGTGGTGAATGGTGGTTGTTGTTGTTGGTATCGTCTTGAGTAGCTGTCCGGTCTGGCATTTGTAAGGGCACAGTTGATGTCATTCGCTGCCTGCTGATGCCGAGCATCAACGTCTACAACGCTGCCGCCCGCACTTTAACAACAGGACCCAACAGTTTGTTTCTTTGATGACAACCAAACACCGAGCGCCGTCTTCTCCGCGGCTCAGTCCGCTGGGCCTGTGCTCCGGCGATGTCTGACGCTTTGTGTTTCTGTGTTCTCTGTGCACGAAACTCTCCACCCCCCGCCCCGGCAGCTCACGTGTCAGCTCGTTAGGGCCAGGAGCATCCCGCTTCTCCGCGAACTCCATCGGGAGCTCAGCTGGGGCAGGGCGCGATGCTAAATAAAGCACGGCGTCTGCGAGACTGCGTGTGCCCGTGCCCTGCAGTGCATTTCACCAAAACGTATTCCCCCCCCTCCCCGCAAAGCCCACATGTACACCTAGCGTTAGCGTACGTGCAAGCTGCTAACATTTTAACAAAAAAAGTTACTGTATTATTGAACACGTTTATAATATAATTACATTTAGACAGCGCTTTCCATCAAGGATCTCGTAATCGTCTCATTTTGTTTCATATACCGATGGGAAGATTTGTTTTGTTTAATTACATAAAAGGCTTACCACATCAAATGCATCGGGAAATGTTGGCCTGGAAAATATTTAAATGAACTCACATTGCTGAACACCAATGAGGCAAACGAAGTGCTGTGCAGATGGTAGACATCAAAATGAGCGAGCCTCTCTGTGCTCCGCCAAATCTGGGGCATAGGCCACGCACGGTGGCACTGTTCGGCCAAACATGAGAATTCCACATCGCTATGGCAGGATCCCGCCAGTCTTAACAGTGTTGCACACAGCACTTGCTGCGAGCGACGTTTCTAATTTCCTGCGCATGTTCTATTTTTTACCGCGTTCCTTTGCTATATAGCCTGTCACCCCTCTTGACTTGCAATGCTCATTATAAACACGCAATTTGCGCTGCTTCACGTACTGCTTTAACTTTCATAAATAATATCCCCCCCCCCCCGCCACCGCCCCACACACACACTTTATCACAACCATGATATCGGTGCCGTGGCATGAGATGAAGAAACCATTCAAATCTCGCAAAGCAGTGCGAGGCCCACAGAAGCTGATGTCATAGAACTACTTCTCAAGTCTTGTTCAAGCGGCCCCGTATCCACGCGAGCAGGCAGCACTTTCCAACCCAGCCGGCCACAGTGCGATGCTTAGGACACAACAGTCGGTCGAAGCGATACTGTTCATTTTAACAGGTAGGCTTTCGCAACCAATATCATCCATAATAGAGGTTTTTGGGTTAGATCGCGTAAATGTATAAATGTGTCGCTAAAACCCGCCAACAACCGACACAACCAACTAGTAAGGGTTGTCACGTAATGCCAATTCGTCACTAGTACAGCACACCGGTGTGTTGGAGAGCCAAGCCACAACATTTATAAATGTGAAGAATTGGCACGTTCTGTTTATCTGACAACCCTTACTAGTTGGCTGTGTCGGGTGGTAGTGGGTTTTAGCGACACATTTATATATTTACGCAATCTAACCCAAAAACCTCTATTATGCAATACTGTTCATTCTCAGATCCTGAATTTGCCAAAATTAAGTGCAAAAAACTAATTTCGTAAGACGGGGGAAAACTATGTGGCGGGGGGGGGTGGCGATGTTGCTGTCGTCATTGGTGACACTGGGCTGAGGCCATCAACCAGCATAGATTACTTTAAAGAGGGGGGGGTGGGGTGCAACCACACCGCCCCAAGTGGACGCCTGCTACAGCTGCAGCAGCTGCGGCAGCGGCAGCAGTAGCAGGAAGACCCCCGGGGGTTTTGGATTGCGATCATTCCGCCCGGGCGCCTCTCCTCCGTGCAGCGCGGTCCTCCTCGGCCCTCTGCCGGCTCGCGCACGCCACTGAACTTCGTGTGGGACGAGGCCACGGGGCCCGTGAATTATCCACAGCAGAGGTCGTAAACGGGTTTTTATTCCTTACCCGTACCCGGCCGTACCAGGGTCGCAAATGGGTACGGGATACCCGTTCCCTACCCGTACCCGTACCCTACCCGAAATGAGTGACAAACGGTGACTCACCAGTGACTCACGGCCTACCCGTACCCGGCCGCACCAGGGTCGCAAACGGCTACCCGTACATCCGTACCCGGTCGGGTACGGATAGCCGGGTATCGGGTAGGGTACGGGCATCGGGTACCCAGTTGCGACCTCTGAGCCACAGGGAGCAGCCGCTGCGCACTGGCCGTTGTGGCAGAGTTGTGACTCTGGGGGGAGTTGCAATTCTGTGGCGTGGAATGGTGCAGGACAGCAGCGGTCGTGTGCGCTGTACGGAACGGAATCGTCATCTGCCATGTCCTTTTCCACACTACAGATGACAGAAAATAATTGCAAAAAAAATCCCCATTCCAAAGGGTGCATTGTACAGAATAACCATGCTGTTGCGACCATTCTCTCCGTTGCTCTTAATCGTTTTATGAGTGCAAATTATCGTTTGCTTGTACAATGGCACCCCCACCTCGCTTAGGCATGTAATCGTAGGTGCGAGTGGTAGAAATCGATAAGCATTGTATTAGTCACAAGACAGCTATCGTAAATGTGTGTAAAGTGCAACAGGGTCCACTGGGTTCCGTGTTAAACGCCCTGGCGTGGAGTGGTGGCGCGGTGATTCATGGTTAGTTGAACCAAACTTTAGTATGAATGTATGTTGAATTTCTTTCGCACTGTACGTAGCCAACCGTGCTAATCGGAGGTGCGGGGGTGGGGGCATGGGGGGGTGGGGGGGGGTCACCTGCCAACCTAACCATGGCCTCTACGACAGGGCGATTACTGCTCTGGCTGACAATGCTCTAAACGACGGTGCTGACAAACAAATCTGACTTTGTTATAAACAAATCTGACGTTGATAATTGTTTTTTTACCCTTCTATCTGGCAAACAAAACTGACACCTTTTTTTACAAGGAGTCATGTTTACATAGACCACAATACCTGCAGTCATAATGCAAACAAAAAACAAAACTCTGATCCAACACCATGTGAGACTAGGCTCTAAGGAAAGCTGTCTCGGGTGTGGACCAATCAACTTCAAGGACAGTGCATACACTATCAGAGTTATGGTTTTTGTTTGCATCATGACTGCAGGTATTGTGGTCTATGCAAACATGACTCCTTGTAAAAAAAAGGTGTCAGTTTTGTTGCCAGATAGAAAGGTAAAAAAACAATTATCATATTTTTTACTGGCAAATGAGGTTCCAATGGTGTAAATCTGACGGTGTTGTTATAAAATGTATTATTAGTGCACCACACTATGAACACGGCCACCTGAGTTCAATTCCCGGTGAGAGTGAGAGCTGAACCAGTTCTGGGCCCTCCCTTCACAAATCCCGACTGGTGATGTACACGATGAGGCAACTCTCATGACCAACACCACGTGGGTGCTTTTTGTGTTTAGTTCGTTGTCCTTCCCCCCGCACCTACGATTAGCACGGTTTGGCTACGTACGGTGCAAAATAATTCAACATACATACAATTATACTTTCATCTGGGATTGGACTAATAAAGAGCTGCCATGCCAAGTACCTTGACACTCACAGTTGTCAGGATTTGCATAGAGGATAGATTTGTTCACAGTTCCTGGTGAGTCAAGAAGGGGAAACTCCTGGCTCAGTAAATGATTTAAAAAAAAAGTGTGCTTGCTGGTACCAACATTGACATCTATCTACAAAGTCTGGACAGGTGAGTAATCGGCTCATTTTCAGGTAACTCACGTGATTAATTCCCCCAGAAATTTACTCAAAGGTAACAATTCACGGGTCACGGTTAAATTAGTTTTGGTCTTGCCTGTGCTATGTGGCAAGATGTTAACTACCTCGCCTGGTATACAGGAGCATGTGGGTTCGATCCCGGCCCTGACGCCTGTATTTGGAGTTTGCGTGTTCTCTCTCTCTCTCCCCCCGTGGTGGCGTGGATTTCTCTCCGGGTCCTCCGGTTTTTCTCTCCACATTCATAAACATGCATTTAGGGTATTTGACTGCTATACATTTCCACGTGATAATCGACTTCGTTGAGCTATTATTTGTGGCCAGGTCGCTTATAAAAAAAGAGCTAGAAACCTCAGTGGTAAAATAAAAATTTTGTTTAATAGTTCTATGTGCCTCAATGTTCCGTCTCATTCGCGTGCTACTTAGGCTGAAGTTACAATCGCGTATAATGTGTGTCAATTCTAGATTTGAAGCTTTCGTGACTGCAAGGATTCATACTCTTAGGTTTTTTCGGTAAAAAATTATAATAATAGAAAATAATAACAATAAATCAATAAAATCACGAGCTGTAAACGATCCATTCAATTCACATATCGTGTGCGCACAAATCGATTTTAATCGATGAATCCGTCCCGTTTCTCATTCATCACTGTCGTACGTTTCAACCGCCAAGAAATTGGAGCGTGGCATCCAGAGTGGTGGTGCCCGTGTTGGGCGCCCCTCGGTCGCCATTTTCACTTGCGGCTCACGTCACCAGCAGCCCCAGCTGGACCAGCCGAACACTCGCCTGTGTCCAGACAGCTGCCCTGGGCCACAGCGCTAACCTAGACGCATTGCCTCACCACGTGCCCGCCCAGGCACCAGCTATTTGATTACAACAGCTATGAATCATTCAAGGCTTCAGACAAAACCATCCATCACACACACACACTCTCTAGAGTGCTGCCGGTGGTTTAGGATGGACCGGTAATATGATATTTTAATTGCCACTCTATGGCAGGACGATCGACAGAGCAGGGAGGCCGCCCCACGCTTACACGAGCCTTGGCAGCGCCAGATGCATCATTGCCGTGCGAAGTTACACCATCTGTAACCCAGCCTGCACCTCCTACCGCAGCGCCCAGAGATGCCCGGTCTACATGGAGACCGGTCTACAGAGACCGGTCCAGGGTGAGTGATCCTGGCCTCAGGAACGTAGCTTGAAGCCCCACCACAGTGGGTAAGAGGGTATTTATTTTCATATATATAGTGAATTCCTGGCAGAAAAAAACACGCTCGGGTTTATGCGCAGAAGGAAAAAAGGAAACCGATGTTGTTGTTTGTCGTGCGGAATTAAAGCTCATGAAATCAGGGCAATGAAGGTCGACGGGCGTGAGCGATGAGATCGTGGCAGAGAGGACAACGTGAAGATACTCACGGTAGGATTTCCATATGGGCGGCTGGTAGTCCTCGCTCTCTGCAATAGACAAAGGTGAAGAGAGCCGCTGGTTATTCATAGCATTGAGCTGGGGGCCAAAAGTTCACCGTTGCACGACACGCCGCACGTTACCTGCAGACACAATGTGGACTCGCGGGGTCGAGCGGCTGAGGCACTCAAAGAGCAAAGCACACGTTGAGGTGGGCATTGCTGGAGAACACGCGAACAGTTACAACGTACAATTAACACAAAACATGTAAAACAACGCTTTGACAAAACGGCCGAAACACATCACCGCCTCCGAGCACTTTGCCACGTTACTGGCGGCAGAGATATTGGCGCACTCTCCACCAACAATCGGACGAAAGGGAATCGCGTCAGCACGTGAATTTCGTTCGTGGCGCTATGAACCAAGACAACCGGCCACAACGGCATTGCAGCTACGCGCAAGACAACCGTCCGCCTCGCCAACTAAAATGCCAACCGAGAGCGTGGGCGGCGCGGCCCAACTCCAGGCGAGCGCAAACGGCACCAGGGGGCACCAGCGTGGCAGCGGCAGGTCGAGCCGCCGGAGGTCCGTGCGGAGCGTCGGCGCGTGCAGCGGAGCCGAGGGGCCCCCGTGCCGAATCGCGCGCACAGACACCGCTTCCTACCATTGTGCTGTCACCGACGCAAACACACGCGCGCGTAAACCCACAGCGAGCGTGAACCCACAGCGAGCGCAAACGGCCCCGCGCGGCACAGCCTCGCCGGCGCGCACGGACGTTACGCCGCAATGAAAAAAATAAAGGGGGGACACGCCGCACCGGCGAAGGCATTTCGACAAGAGGCGAGCGCGAACGCTAGCCCTGCTCGTTACCTGGACGGGTCCTGCGTCGGGGTTTGAGCACGACGGCGCGGGACGCCATCTGCCCCGCGAGAGGCTGCATGAATTTAACAACGAAAAAAAATAAACTTCGCCTTTTAGCACCGCATGTTTGTGTTGTCAAGCGGGCGTGACTGTGGGTGGGACGGGGGAGGGGGGCGATCGCCTTAATGACGATTCGTCGAGTGAAACCTTCAGGCCGGCATTACTCCCCGGCTTCGCGAAAGCTTTCGGCAAATCCAGACGGCCTGGAGCGGAGCCTCTGAGCGGCAGCGAAGGCGGCGCTCTCCGCACTCCGCCTCCGAGTCCTGGGACCCCGGCGGTGGAAGGAAGCGGGTTTCTTAGAAGAGATTTATGGCGTGTGTCACTGGCACGCACCCAAGTCAAACAGGAAAGGAAAGTCGACACAAGTGAAGGCATTAACATCGTGAAGGGCCATGGCCAGTTTTCCTGCTCACGGTGGCCGGACAGCTCGGGAAGGGGGGGGCTGTCGGGGGAGGGGGGGGAGCCTCTCCCCGGTGACAAAAGTGACCACGTGTGACCCGATGCGAATGGTCTGCGCGGAGTCACTCGCGCACGTTACGCGCACTAAATCACGGGACGTGACCGTCGCTGTTTGTGTACGTGGCGACACACCACAAAGGTGCTGCTCCGTAAATTACGCCCGTTTTACTGGCACAAAAGGACCGAAAGCCCCGCAGCCATTGACGCTCCATTCAACTGCAGTTACATCATAACAGTTACAGCCTGCCCTGCCCTGCCGAGCGCACCGACCAGCACGATTTAACACCGTCAGACCACCAGGGCCAATAACCGCAGCCGGCATGCCAACGCGGCGAGGCGGCGGCGGCGCTGCACCGGCAACCCGGTGGTGGCACCAATTTGATTTCCAGGCCACGTTTGACATCGTTTCGCGAGCGATTATCAGAAACGGTCCGAGGAACCCCGCTGCAACAAAAACCCGCACCAGACCAGCGCGGTGAAGTATGGTTTCAGCAATGAAATACGTCAGCCGGTCAATCGGGTTTTGTCTTTTTTTTTGCGCACATTCTTGGACGTGACCTTTTTTTGACAGTTTGCATTGGCGGGATGAAAATAAACTTCTCGCATATGACGCCGCGATTTTTCTTTGAACGTGTACATCTTAAACATTAGCATTTACACTGGTCTAGACATCCACTTTATAAGGGGAGGCTCAAATAACCGAGGCTTGACTTTATCACCACGGCCGGCACACAACGTCATGGGACAGGATCGCGTTTCTAAGTCGTGCAGGAGGGAAAATAGCCACTAGAGGGAGCCCAATTCTACGCAGAACAAAAAAGCTAAAAACGATCCTTTTTTTATTTCAAAAGCGACCTGGCTCAACCTAGTGACTTAATGTTTTCGGTAAAGTCACGTAGATAGGTTCAATTTAATACAAATAAAATAAAAACTACGACGTTTCGATCGCAACACAAGCGGTCGTCATCCGGCCTGTGACTTTACCGAAAGACCCAAAGAATATCAACCAAGTGACTGATCATCACGTGGACATTTATAGCAACCAAACACTCGAAAGGCGAGTTTATAAATGTGGAGGGGGGGGGTGGGAGACCCGGAGAAAAATCCACACGACCACGGGGAGAGAGGCACGCAAACACCAAGTATACAGCAGGCGTCAGGGTCGGGATCGAACCCACGACCTCCTGTACAGCAGGCGATGTAGTTAACATCTCGCCACCGCGGCGCACGAAAAAAACCACGTGCCCCCCCCCCCCCCCCCCCATGGGCAGTTGTGCACGAGCACAAATCAAGAGTCAACCACATTCACCATTAATGCTGCCTTGGAATAAAACAGCTACAGAAGGCAACTATTTAGCATCCCTTTATGCACATGATAAGGATTAGATACGAGCCTTGGTGTACTATTATTATTATGGGCGTGCGTTTGAGCCCGGGATTTATAGAGTTGGAGCTCGCAGACTTCGCCCCGCTGCTTGGATAATTAGCTTCCAGGGGGTAAAGACAAAATACTTTTACTGTGCTGTACACACGCACACAGGGAACGCTGCAGCCAGACTCGACCTTTGTTCACCGCGTCACGTTCCGTTTATGATGCAAGAAACCTCAATGAGGAAAGGGAATTGTACAAGAATTGCACGAGGACATCCTTTCTTCGATTTAAAGCTTTCGTGACTGCAGGGATTCATCTTCTTGGTTCTTTCGGTGAAGTCACGTAGAAGGGAAATAGTAAAATAATAAAAGGGAGCCCAATTCCCTTTTAACATAATTAAATAAATCTCACGACGTTTCGGCCACAACGCAAGCAGCCGTCCTCAGGTGAAGAACAGGTCTGTCGGGAAGACAGCGACAGACCTGTTCTTCACCTGAGGACGGCTGCTTGCGTTTACTTTAAGTTTTATTTTTATTATTTTATTATTTCCCTTCTACGTGACTTTACCGAAAGAACCAAGAAGAGGACATCCTTGTGGATTCCACTGCCAAACGAAACGCCGTGGGCGCCTGGCGTCCGTCTAAGGAATGAACCGCAACACCTTTCGTCAAGGAGCATCAACCACTGCGCGAACTCCGGTCATCCTCGCAGCGGCTTCTGCCTGGCCACCGAACAAAAGGCGGTCACCGCATCGCGCGCTTTTCCGATGCGCTCCTGCGGCCGTCTGGAACGCTCCTCCTTCGGGCACCGTATTCGGAAGCCACTGGAGCTATGCACTTTCAAATCATCCAGATCGCAAAGCTGGAACTGCTTTTTTGCGATCCGGTTGTTGCCTTTGCCCCCGCGCCTCCGATTATCACGGCTGGCTACGTACGGTGTGAAAGAAGCTCAACACAGACAGGCGTCAGAGCGGTCCGATCGTGAAGACACCTCCCCCCCCACCACCCACCTTGCTTTACCACGACTCTGCACGACATGCAGTCGAAGTGCGAGGCGTCTTGCGCCACTCACTGGCGGCAGCCAGCACTGCACCGCGACACCAGGGGCCTCTGCAATCCGTCATCGAAAGATGATATATAAAAGTATTGAACTTTTTTTTTGTAACTATAAACTATTATGTTACCGGGCAAGGGTCACTGAGCGAAAATAGCCCTCTTTCAGAAGCCACTTGGCTGCAGATGATAGGTCAACAAAGTGGTTTATCATGTGGAAATGTATAGCAGCCACATACTCGAGAATCACGTTGGGGGGCGTCCATAAATGACGTCACGTACTAGGGGGGGGGGTCAGACATTTGTGACGATGTGTGACGAGGGGGGGGGGTTAGAAATGTGACGTCACATCAAAATGCACAACTTTAAATAAATACAGACAACACGTTCTACTTAATTAAATAGACTTTTTAATAAATGTTTTCTCCTACAACATCAGAGTGCAGCGCCACATTAAATATGCACTACAATGACAATAGTTTAAAGCGATTTGAAGCATGTTTTATTTTAGGAGAGGGGGGGGGGCAGAGCTTTGTGACGTTATATTTGAGGGGAGGGGGGGGTCTGACTTTTTTTGATGCCATGTGACGAGGGGGGGGGGTCAAAAATCGTCCAAAATCGCGTGACGTCATTTATGGACGGCCCCTTGATTCTAAATGTGGAGCAAACAAACCGGAGGACCCGGAGAAAAATCCACGTGACCACGGCGAGAGAGAGAGAGACACGCAAACTCCAAATATACAAGAGACGTGAGGGTCGGGATCGAACCCACGACCTCCTGTATACCAGGCGAGGGAGTTAACATCTCCTAGCCACCGTGATGATGAGAGACACGCAAACTCCAAATATACAACAGACGTGAGGGTCGGGATCGAACCCACGACCTCCTGTGTACCAGGCGAGGTAGTTAACATCTCCTAGCCACCGTGATGATGAGAGACACGCAAACTCCAAATATACAACAGACGTGAGGGTCGGGATCGAACCCACGACCTCCTGTATACCAGGCGAGGGAGTTAACATCTCCTAGCCACCGTGATGATGAGAGAGAGAGACACGCAAACTCAAAATATACAACAGACGTGAGGGTCGGGATCGAACCCACGACCTCCTGTGTACCAGGCGAGGGAGTTAACATCTCCTAGCCACGGTGATGATGAGAGAGAGAGACACACAAACTCCAAATATACAAGAGACGTGAGGGTCGGGATCGAACCCACGACCTCCTGTGTACCAGGCGAGGGAGTTAACATCTCCTAGCCAACGTGATGATGAGAGAGAGAGACACGCAAACTCCAAATATACAACAGACGTGAGGGTCGGGATAGAACCCACGACCTCCTGTGTACCAGGTGAAGGAGTTAACATCTCATAGCCACCGTGAAGATGAGAGAGAGAGACGCAAACTCCAAATATACAGCAGACGTGAGGGTCGGGATCGAACCCACGACCTCCTGTGTACCAGGCGAGGGAGTTAACATCTCCTAGCCACCGTGATGATGAGAGAGAGAGACACGCAAACTCCAAATATACAACAGACGTGAGGGTCGGGATCGAACCCACGACCTCCTGTATACCAGGCGAGGGAGTTAACATCTCATAGCCACCGCGGCGCCCAATCATTCACACCGTGGGTGGTCATCAGCACATGGGACCTCGGGGTGATTCAGTCACATGGCGACTCTGGCATACGGCTGCGTGAACACAGCAAACCCACAAGTTCACGTCCGGATCGCTACAAGGCTAGATTCGAAGCTTTCGTGACTGCAGGAATTGCTCCTCGGTTCTGTCGGTAAAGTCACGTAGAAAATAAAATTGTTTTGTCTTGGTGTGTGTCGTGTCTCTGTGTCTCTGTGAGTCTCTCTCTGCATGATTGTGTCTGTCTGTGTGTCTGTCTGTGTGTATCTCTGTGAGTCTCTCTCTGCATGATTATGCCCGTCTGTGTGTCTCCGGGTGTGTGTTTTGTCTCGCTCTCAAATTTAGCAATCTTTGGAAGAACGTAATCAACCAGGTGGGGTTGTTGACTGCTGTGTTAGCCGACTCTCTGTGTTGTATTGCATTACATTTCTAAGTTTACTATGTTTTGGTTTTCGAATTCATTCTTACCCGATGACGGTTGCTTGCGTTGCAATTGAAACGTCGCATTCGATTATCATTCGATTTTATTCTCTACGCGACTTTACCGAAAGAACCAACGAGGATCGCTTCAATTTTCCGCCGCGTGCCCAATGAGTTTGGTCGGTGCTGCGCCGTGACCTGCCCGTGTCGAGCCGCAGGAAGCAGCGGCATGGCGCGGTTGGCACGGGCACCTGATGCACGGAACAGAATGGGGGGGAGGCAGGAGGATCCAGGTCCAATTCCACCCCCTCCTCTTCCTAGCCCCCCC